CCCTTCTGCTCTGCTGAGGGCCCTACCGCAGTGAACCTTCTGGTGGGCTAAGACGATAAATGGAATGGCAGGGAAATGCAAATCCCAGAGGAAAAAGGAAATGTAAAGGAAATAAAAATGAAAAAGGTGCCTGAATAAAGCAGTAGGTTAGACCTCTTCTGTGGGCAGATCAAGATACTTTCCCCAAGAACAGCTAACTTCTCCAGAGGTCCTGGAGGAGAGATGCTTGGGGCACTCACTCCACGCAGATTATTGCTGAGGGCACCATTCCTGCTAGCACTCCAGTGCCCTCAGGCTCACGGCCCTGCTCCACCACGCCGGCCTCTCCTGCCCTGGCAATAAAGATGCCTGCGAGCAGCGCCGAGCGAGCCAGGCTGTTGACAGCTGGGGAAGCCCGTCACGCCTGCCTTCTCTCGCGGCTGGGCTGCCACTGCGGGTGAAGCAGAGGCACTGGCTAAGCGAGGCGTAATCGTCCCCGGAAGGCTTTCCTTGGACCTTGGAGTCTCCGCTGAAGCTTGTCTGGTACAAATAATTACTGCAGAAGGTTTACTCGGATGCAGGCGGCACACTTCATTGCCCTCAGAGGGCTGCAGAAACCAAGAGGGCTGCGGTGCAGACACCGCGTGCCCCCCATGGCCGTGCCGCCCCTGGGCACCACCTTGGCACAATCCATTTCCACGGCCGAGGGTGGGGGCCAGCCCCCTCCTCTGGTGCGCACCCAGCCCCCCGCTGTCCCCCTTGGGTGCAGCCCAGCTTCGTGCCCCTGCGCTTCCCCAGCTCTGCAGAAGGCCTGCCTGAGAGAGTGCCAAGACAGAGAGGTGAGGAAGCCACACGGGTCCATTCCAGGCGCTGGAGTCACACTCTGCATGTGGATTTGCATGTGGATTTGCCAGGCTCAACTCCCAGCCTCTCCAGGACCAGTGGACCTGCCAGGTGGGCATTCTGGGAGCTGCGGTCCAAGGCCACTGGACTGGGGGAGGCTGGCCCCGCTGTTTCAGTGGATGTTTTGAGAGCAACCCACTCAACAGGGTGACGATGCCTTTCACAGCATGCCTGCAGGGGGCAGGAGGAATGCCAGGGGGTGTCGAGAGCAAAACGAGTCGGGATCCAGCAGGGATTCTCTTCTGGTGATCCGGTGTCCCTGCCTTGCTTGGAGGATGCACTAATGCGGCACGCCCGTGCAAGGGGACCCTCTATTGTTAGGAAGAAGATATGAACAGATGGGTGGGTGGCATCCTGGAAGAAAGCCCATTTGGACAGGCTGATCTGGCGCGCTCCTCTGAAGCTGAAGTGCTGATTAATGGCGTTCACCTCCACCTTCAAATTAGATTTCCAGAAGTGTTCTCTATCAAAATAAGGAGCTGAGTTTTCACAACAGCCGGTCCTGTACTTTGTCACTGGAAAATTTTCCATTACAGCTCTGTCATGATTTGCTGTGCATGACTGGAGAAAGAGGTGCAGAGAATGCTTATCAAATTTGCAGGTGTCACAGAATGGGATGAGCCAGTAGCTTGGAAAACAGAAGCAACATTGAAATGCTCTTGATCGGTTAAAAAACTGGGCAGAAAATAACAGTAAAGTTCGACGGAGACAAATGCAAATTTCTTCATTTAGGAAAAAGAAATCAATTTATGTCTGGAAAGGATTGTGGTGCTGCGGTCGATCACAAGCTGAGTATGAGTCACCAGGGCAATGTGGCTGCAAAACAGGCAGGTGTGTTTTTTAAGTTGCCAGTAGAACAAATGTGCTTGCTCCAGCCCACCCTGTGATGGTCAGACTGGACCCCACACTGGAAGGAGGACAGCATTCGGGGAAAGATCAAAGGGTAGAAACAACATCCTGCAAGAAAAGGTTGAGAGGACTTGAGAAGACAGAGGGAAGATATGATAGCAATTTTCAAGGTTGTCCCAAGAAGAAGGCTGAAACCTGTTCTCTGTCACCCACGACTGCGGGATATGAAATGATGGATTCAATGAAAGGAGGGCAGTTTTCGATGGAGCACCAGGAAAAACTTCCTAAGAGTCGGAACAGGCAGAGATAGGATCCACCTGCCTTGGCAGGTGGCAAGATCTTCACTGACGGAGGCATTCAAGCAAGAGACTGGACAGCTTCAGCTGAGTCCTGGGAAGAGGATCTTCCCAGTGGGAGGAGCTGTGCTGCCTGGTTGGGAGAGGGCTCCCCCCACAAAATTGGGTGGGGACCCCACCCATGAAAGGAGCCCTTCCACAGCCAATGGAAAGCAGAGCCTGGATCCAATCCGCTGTATGCACATCACACAGACTCAGCCTGCCAGTGATCAGGGGTGGGGTGGGGTGGGTTGTTTGTAGAACCCATAGCAGAGTGTGGGGCTCCCTGGGCGCGGCCATTGCCTCCTCCCCAGCTAGTATCCCAGGGGGCTTGGTCCCTAAAGCGTCTCCACTCCCTGCTGTGCTTTGGAGCCCTTTTGGCTGGAGCTGACTCTTCGTTGCATCCTGCGCCTTTCCCAAAGAATCTAGGAGCTTGTGAAAGTGGAAAAATGCAAGCCACTCCTTGCATGGGAGCACAGAGTTTTGACACCTGTCCAAACTCAAGCATCCGACAAACCGTGTGTGTGTGTGTGTGTCAAAACCACATTTTAAAAGGAAACCTGAGCTTTGACAGCTGTCTGAAGCCATACAAAGCAGTATTATGTAGACAGTAAAATAGTACACACTTTGTCCTCATTGGCTATGCTGGCTGGGGTGGGGATGATGGGAGTTGTGATGAACCTCTGGGCGAGAACAAGCATGGGGTGGCTGCTGCAGGGCCTAACAAAGACTGTGAAATACTAGTGATCGTTTGTTGTTGTTTTCCCAAAAGTTGCTGGGTGCCCTGCTCCTTGAATCCCAGGAGTGGTGGGTTGGGAGTGCCCAGGTCAACGGTGGCAGCTGGAGCTTGAGCACTTCTGTCCTCGCCTGTCTTCACTCTGTCGCTGTCTGTAAGGATGCTTCTACAGCCTTCTGTCCAGTGCATGCAGACGCCAGGGCTCCGTTTCCAGGGGCGCCCGCATCCATGTGCTTGCTTCGAGACTGCCGCCGCACGGAGCATCACGCGAGGGCCGTCTCCCAGCCGCTGTGGCGGAGTGAGCGCTCACTTGCACTGGTTCCGCCTCATTTACCCGACGAAGGGGCCAAGCACCCGTGACGGGGGGGGGGGGCGCGATTACGTGCAGCGTGAGCTGCCACTCGGACCTTTGCATCATGCAAGGTCCTTTCTGACAAAGCCATTTCAAACATTTCAGGTGGCTTTAAGAAGTTTATCAGGCATTGAAAGGATGTGGAAATTATGCAGCTTGGGTATTTAATCTGAGTTGGGACAACATGCTTAGCCAAGCTTGTCTTACTAGGGACTAGGGAATCCGAACGCGACTTGGAGGGCAGGGCTGCTAAGGCTGCCAGCTTTTTACAGGGGCATAAAGCTCTGCAGCTGAGTGACGGCGAGCCTCCCTTGTGTCAAGGTTAAAACAGTTACTTTGCCTAACCAGCAGATACAAAACCAAGCAGAGAAATGCCCCTTTTTATGGCAGATCAGTGGGAGAATATGAAATGGCAGCACTTACTTTCCAGCAAGAGAAATGCCAGAGTCAAACCAAGTCAGGAAACAGAACCTGATCTGGGGATTTGTCGCCCTCAGTCCCTGACGCTGGCAGCCTGCACATGCTCAAGGGTCTTCTGTCGGTTTTTACTTCAGGTGTCCTGCAGTGAAAAGAGACGCTGGGGTCAAAACCCCTCAACATATCAAAGGAGGAAGAGCGGAGGAGGCAGAGTGGGGTGGCGATGGGCAGGTGTAGCTCAACCGCTGGGGAGAAGGGGCGGGTTACAGCATCCCAGCCAAGAAGCAAGGAGGCGCGGGTTCAAACCCGTGGAGCTTGCTGGGCTGGCCCAGCTTCGGGTGGGTGGGTCATTTCTCTTGAACAAACCTCCCTGGGGCCTGCCGGCTTGCTGTGGGCTCCTCGGGGCAGCGTTTTCAGGGCCCTGTCGAGAGGTCCAAGCCTGGCAGAGCAGGCTCGACGTGGCTTGTTTGAAAGGACTAAGCAGGTGCTTGGCCCGAGCGGCAAAAGCCCGAAGGCTCTCGAGATGCGCTCACGCCCATGTCAATGGAGTTAGCGCTGCAGCGTGTGCCTGTGTGGGGGACTCGCCTCTGGAAGCTTTCCCTTTCCCTCCCAAACGACCACGGGCTTTAATGGGGGCGCATGTGCTTCGCCTGCGGGCTTTCTGGGAACTTCACTAGCTGGGGCAGAGCAGTGCGCTTGCGCCTGGCGCCTCCCAGAGCAGGCTGGGTCCGGGTCCATGCAGCCCAAGCGCCATGTGCGGGCTGTGGCGGAACCACGGCTTGTTTCTGAGGTGTTGGCAATCCTCTCGCCTGAGCCCAGGTGTGCAAAAAGAACCGCGTTGGCGAACCACAAAGGTCTCTGAAGAACCCCTGATTTGTGGACTGTGGGATAGGAGCTCCCCTCCCGTTTTCATGGATCCTTTTTAGAGCCCTCACTGGCGCAGTTCCTGCAGCTTCCTGCCCATTCTAAGGTACCATAATAAAAATGCTTGCAAATGCTTGCAAATGCTGTGGCTGGGAAGTGGATGGAGGGTAACTTTGCACCTCGTGGAAGAGAGATGAGGCCGTTCCTGGAAGTGCCAGAGTTCTCCGTCGTTTATTCCTCATATGAAAATGAGTGGGGATGGCTTTGGCCGCCAAGGACACTGGGAGCGAGCGGGAGGACTGACGGGAGGGAAGGGGAGAGCCCCCGTGCCCAGCCCAGCCTCCCTCCAATCTCCCCTGGATTATGCAGAGGCTACGGCACCCCTTCCCACCGCAGCTTGCTTGTTCGCGGGGTCCACGGGCACGACCTGCCAGCACCCCTGCCAAGCAGCCGACGAGGCTTCCGGACGTGGCCACGCATTGTCCCCGCAGGGCAGGCACTCTGGCAAGACCCCAGAAGCAGCCCCGGGCAGCAGTCACCGAGTCCCCCTCTCTGTGTCTTGCAGACAGCGGCGACAGCGAGCTGGAGCTTTCGGCCATCCGGCATCAGCCAGAAGGGCTGGACCAGCTCCAGCTTTTGACCAAATTCACCAAGAAGGAGCTGCAGTCCCTCTACAGAGGGTTCAAGAACGTGAGTGAGCCATTCTGCCTGCGTCCGCCGTGACACTGAAGGGCCATTCCTGGCACAGGATGGGCAAAGCACCAGCGCGCCGAGGACAAGACTGGCTTGCTGAGGGCGCCTGCTGGAAAGATACCTTTCCAGTCGCACTAAGCGCTGAGGGGGTGGGTCTCTGGTCCAGAGCGGCTCAGGGCTTCTGCAGACGTGCCAAATCCTAAAGCCGGGCTTGGCAGCAAACAGAGCCAGCAGGGCGGCCCCGAGCACGGGCAGCGTGATGGCACCGAGCCACTCCCTCCACAGGGATTGGCACCAGCTGCCCCGCCCAGGTCAGCCTTGAGGGCAGCCCCACATGCAATGCTTTCTCCCATTCATCTCAATGCTCTGCTCCAAGTAGGACTAGCCCTGGGCACAGCTCCCTGTTGTCTTTAATGCCTCCCCCATTTCCAAACAGCCCCACCTCTGGACTCGAAACTTGCCTGTGTCGCAGACCTATTGTGGCTTAACTTTTCCCTTCTCTCCCCACGGAACTGGGGGAGGGAGCTGGGTTGCTGTGTAAGTCTCCCAAGAAGTCAGGTGGCTTCTCCTGAGCGAGAACAGCCTCCCAAGGATCCACCCATGTGCTCCACATATCGTCTTTATTTTCCTGCAATGCTTGGCTCTTTATTGCCACCGAGAGAAATGCTCCTAAGCGCCTTCTTTCCCGGGTTCATTGTACTGCATTTTGTGTTAGAATCGCAGCTCGCTGCTGTCTGGGACCAGCCCAGGATCGATCGATGAATCAGCCCTCTTTGCTGTTAGCCCAGCTCTTTCATGCTCCAGTCCTTCGGTCTTGCTGAATGGAGAATGCTTGGCAGTCTGCTTGGGAATGCATTAAGCGCGGATTCGGCTGCAGCCACACTAGTGCGGAAGAACCGCTTTACGAGTGGAGCCGTTCTAGTGCTGAGTTCACAGCCAGCCCTCCATAACCGGAAGGACAGACCCTGCAAGCCCGTGCATACGCAGGGAGTGGCTTGCCCATGGCTGCTTGGGGCAGGGGTGCAAGAGCCCAGGCACCACTCCTCCAGGTGCCCCTTGTCCCTGTCTTACTCAAAGGGGGGCACCCAGGACTGCGCACACGGCCTGCACGACACAGAAAAACGGCGTGCAGCTGTGCTTCTGCTAATGCAGCCCAAGCGGACATCGCTTGCCAGCAGTTGCGCTGCGCCCCGGCTTAGGGGCCCTCCCGTGGGGCAGGCAACCGAGGGCCACTTTCCCACCCCGCACCTCCTGCCACAGTGGCCAGCACATGAACTCAGCAGCAACGTGGCAGCGATTCACAGCCGTGCCGTCACTGTAAGCCAAGGTACTTGAGGAACATCTGTGTGCTCTCACTGTCGGACTGCGCACCGGGAAGAAGTCCTGCGCCAGTGCAGCTTCGCCCTAAATCAAGGGCCGAACCTGCAGATCACTGCCGCTGGAACTTGGCAGCGACGTGGGGCCCGGCGCGGCGGGGACCGCGTGCAGCCCACAGCCACCCGATTCCGCGCAGCGGGCAGGGCCCACGCTAGCTTTTCCGCAAAGGTGCGAGGCAAGGGCAGAATGGGTGGGGAGAGGCAGCGGACGTCAGGCCAAGCCAGGCCTTGCCGTTCTGCCCCGGACAGGTGGAGCACCCCACGGGCGGCCCTCGGGATGTGACCTCCTTGTGCCTTGCCTTGCTAGGAATGCCCCAGCGGCCTGGTGGACGAGGACACCTTCAAGCTGATTTATGCTCAGTTCTTCTCCCAGGGAGGTGAGTCTTGGCTGACGGCCCTGCAGCTCTGGCGCTGAAGCAGAGGGTGAGGCGCACCACTGCCACTCCGAGCCTGCCGCCGCTTCCGCCTCCCCATGGTGCATGCGGCCTCCTGTGCGAGCGCATGCCCCTCCCTTTGGCTGGCGGCATGGCAAAGAGGCGGGCTGGCCTCCCGCAGTAGGGAGCCGCGATGTGCCCTGCGTCTGGGTGGCTTCCACAGCAGCCTGTCTCCCAGGAGAGCTCCGGGAAGGAGAGCTCCGTCGCGAGGGATGAGAGCAAGACATGAGGCGCATGGCTTCCCTAAGCAAGGCGCAGCCCCTGAGCAGAGGAAGGCACGGCCAGGAAGCGGCCTGAAAGCAGGCTGGCCGGCAGTGAAGCCCGGCCCTCCAGTGGGCTGAGCTGGCGGCATTTGATGGCGTGCTCTTGGTGGAACAGTCACTTCTGCATCCCCGGGAAAGGGGGACAGCACCTCCAGAGCAGAGGACAAATGAGGCCGCAGATTTTCACAAACGTGCATATGCAATTTAGAGAGTCTGAATAATCCATAGTAGACTGCAGCCACATGCAGAGAGAGGCGTATATACTCGCCATAACACTGAGGTAGAAACTCATCTTGCAGCATCACAAGAACAATGTGATTTTCAACGTATGTCTACATGCACTTTTTGTGCAGATATGGATGTTCTGTAGCATGGTTTTTAAATGCCAAAGCAGTCACTGGAGAGACCAGTAATCTGGCTCTCTTATCCTTCCTCTGCTGGCCTCCATCTGCCTGGACTCTGCACCCGTCACCTTCCTTCAGCTGCCACTTCCGGGGAGGCCCAAAGGAGGCAACAAGGAGGGAGTTCTCAGTGGCGACCCCCCAGTTCTGCAATGATCTCCCCAACATTATCACCATATTGGTGATGTGTTCAGCCCGCCCTCTGTTCCCAGGCATTTAATGACAAGTAATGGGGCACATCAACTGTTTAACAGGTCGTGCTTTTCGTTGTTTAAAGTTTTAAATGGTGAATTTCATGCTGCATTGCACTGTACTTGTGCGTTTATTGTTACCCAGTTTTACTGTATTGTTGCATTGCTGTTCATTGCCCAAAGAGCCTTGGAAATGGGGTGAAATTAACAATAATACTCATGATGGATGGTGATGCAGATGCGACCTAGCTGCATTTTCTAAAACAATATATATAGTGGGGACAGTGGATAGGCTGGGGCATGCTGGGAGTTGTAGGCCCTTTGCGAGGCTAAGTTTGCTTGAGATTTTGCCTTTGAGTTGGAACAGAGCTGGAGAGATCTGGGGTTCAGCTTCTTGCTTAGCCGAACCTCCTTCCTTTCATCCTCACTGTTGTGGCGATAAAAATGGGGCGCCTTTCGTGAGACTTTGCTGAGAATTGGCCCCCACCCGGGAGCAAGCCAGGCCCGTGGAGCAAGCGCTGGTAGCCCACCTGCTTCTGCCGTTGTCTTGCAGATGCCACTATGTATGCCCATTTCCTGTTCAACGCCTTCGATGTGGAACGGAACGGAGCCATCCGCTTTGAGGTAAAACGCCCTTCCCACTCCCTCGATTATGGTTCTGGACACTTGGCTCTCCAAGGCTGCTTTCCGCACTTCCGAGAGCATTCCCGCGTGGTCCTTTCCAGGCCGGATGCGAGTGGAGAGGAAGTGGGTGCTGGATGCCACCTGTGTGTGCAGTCATGGACCGGGGACCAGGAATCTCCCGGGGCTGCTCAGATGCTGCCTGGGAGCCATGTCGTCGCTCTGCATATGCGCGTTGCAATTTTAACAACCCTAATGCGGCTTTCTCGTTTGTCAGCAGCCGTGACTTCAGTTCCGCAGCAGTGGGAGGAGGTTAAGAAGGGCCCTCTCTCAGCTGCGCCTGCCTGGGTATCTGGTCCAGCACCAGTCATGTCCGGAGGGGAGGGGAGGGGGTTGCTTTAATCCACCGAGCCACAATTTCCCTCACGGGGCTTCCTGTTCCCTCGAGACAAGGTCTAGTGTGCTAAAACCTGGTGTTGGGCGACCAAGACAGACTGGGGATTCTGCTGGTGTACCGTGCACCCTTCTGCCCATCAGACTCCCCTCCTGAGCTGACGGAGATGGTCTCGGACCTGGTATTGAAGACCCCCAGGATGTGGGTCCTGGGGGACTTCAATCTCCATGCCAAGACGGTTCTAACCGGGGCGGCTCAGGACTTCCTGGCCTCCATGGCGGCCATGGGGCTGTCTCAACATGTCATGGGCTCGACCCATGAACGTGGACACACTCTGGACCTGGTTTTCTCGACGGGGCAGGAAAAGGGTGATCTGAGGGTAAGGAATTTGTGCCTGACTCCCTTGTCATGGTCAGATCACTTCCTCATGAGGTTTTAGCTCGGAGCTGGCCTTTCCCTCTGTAAAGGGTGCAGACTCTATTGTGTTGGTCCACCCCCGGAGCCAGATGGATCCGGATGGATTCCTGAGGGCTCTGGGGGATTTTCCGATTGATAAAGCTGGCGCTCCTGTTGATGCTCCAGTTGAACTGTGGAATGGGGAAATGGCTGGAGCAATTGACACGATTGCCCCTAAGCGTCCTCTCCTGCCAAGCAGGACCTGTTCATCCCCATGGTACACACCTGAATTACGGGCGATGAAGTGGGTTGGGAGACGACTAGAGCGTAGGTGGAGGAAATCACGGGATGAGTCTGACCGAACACGCTTGCTTACGAGCTCATGATCGAGCCTATGCTGTGGCAGTGAGGGCGGCGAAGAAGAAATTCTTCTCCACTTCCATTGCCTCCTCACAGTGCCGTCCAGTGAAACTTTTTCGAGTGGTACATGGGCTGATACCTCCTGGCCCTAAAAAAGATCCTGTATCACCCTCGATGGCCCACTGTAATGACTTTGCCCAGCACTTCAAGGAGAAAATCGCTCAGATTCGTCACGAGCTGGACGCCACAATTGATTCAGTTCCTTTAGGGGAGACACCAATGAGCCCATCTGGTCAGGTATTATTGGATGAATTTCAGTTAATGTGGCCCGATGATGTGGACAAGGTACTTGGACAAGTACGTCCTACCACCTGCTTACTTGACCCTTGCCCGTCGTGGCTGCTGACCAAAGCCAAACACGGGATTGGTGCCTGGATCCTGGAGGTCATTAACGCCTCTCTGAGGGAGGGTCGGGTGCCTGCCCCTTTAAAGGAGGCGGTAATCAGGCCCATCCTAAAGAAGGTGTCCCTGGACTCAGAGATGGCCGCCAATTATAGACCAGTGGCCAACATCCTGTTTTTGGGCAAGGTGTTGGAACGGGAGGTGGCGGGACAACTCCAGGTACTCTTGGATGAAGCTGATTATCTGGACCCACTTCAGTCTGACTTCAGACCCGGGTACGACACTGAATCTGCCTTGGTCGCCCTGTATGATGACCTGTGCAGGGAGAGCGACAGGGGGAGTACGTCCCTGTCGGTCCTCCTGGACCTCTCAGCGGCTTTCGATACCATCGACCATGGTATCCTTCTGGATAGACTGGCGGGACTGGGAGTAGGAGGCACTGCTTGGCGGTGGTTTTGCTCCTATCTCAACGGCCGATTCCAGGAGGTGGTGCTGGGGACGATGGCTCTGCGCCATGGCAGCGATGCCATGGGGTTCCTCAGGGGTCCATCTTGTCCCCCTTGCTATTCAACATCTACATGGAGCCGCTGGGAGAGGTCACCACGAGGTGTGGGCTGCGGAATCATCAGTACGCAGATGACACCCAGCTCTACCCTCTCTTTTTCAACGGATTCAGGTGAGGCAGTGGCTGTGCTGAACCGGCACCTGGCTGAGGTGATGGGCTGGATGAGGGCCAATAAACTGAAGCTCAATCCAGACAAGACGGAGGTCCTGTTGGTGGGTGATTCGAGCTCCTGGGTAGGTGACTTGGGCCCTGCCCTGGATGGGGTTGCACTCCCTCTAAAGGACAGGGTCCACAGCTTGGGAGTGCTCCTCGATCCGGAGCTGTCCTTGGAAGCCCAAGTGACGGTGGTGGCGAGGAGCGCTTTCCTCCAGCTTCGGCTAATCTATCAGCTGTGTCCCTACCTGGAGGAGGATTGCCTAGCAACAGTGACACACGCATTGGTTACTGTACTGCACTTTACATGGGGCTGCCCTTGAAGACAGTCCAGGTACTTCAGATGGTGCAAAACAGAGCTGCCAGGATGCTGTCGGGGACTGGGCATTATTCTCATATAACCCCCTTCCTCTATCAGCTCCATTAGCTTCCCATTGAAGTCCGGGCTCAATTCAAGGTGCTGGTTATTACCTATAAAGCCCTAAATGGCTTGGGACCAGGATACCTAAAGGAATGCCTTTTTCCCTATTTGCCCTCCTGCCCCCTGAGATCGGCAGCAGAAGCCCCCCTCCAGGAACCCTCTGTGAAAGACATTAGGAGACAGAGTACCCGGAGGAGGGCCTTCTCTGCGGTGGTGCCCCGTCTATGGAATGCGCTCCCCAGAGAGGTCCACCTGGCACCGTCATTATATGTTTCTAGGCACCAGGTCAAGGCCTTTTTGTTTAATCAATATTTTAATATGTTTTAAAGGAAATTGTATTTTATTGTATTTTATTAATTTGCAGCCAGAGTGGATTTGTGAATTTATCTATTTTATTTTGTTCTATGTTGTAAGCCGTCCAGAGACGCAAGTAATGGACGACATACAAATTTTATAAATAGATAGATAAGAAGGGACATAATTAATTGAGCCATAAGTGCTTTTGATGAAAGTTTGAACCTTCCTAGAAATAACACGAAGGCTTGGTGACGGAGGGAAGGCGAGAGGCAAAGTTTTTGTAATGTGTGCCTGTATTCAAACCCTTTTAAATGTTCGAAGTCACCGAGCATCTGAGTTAAAGAGTCATGCATGGAAGGGTGACATGTAACACCCCGTACTATTTTATCTTGTTTTTTGGACTGGGCAGCTGTAGGAACATCATGCCCAGAAGACAGGTCAGACTGGTGGAAGCCCTCACCCCGGGGTGAGCCGCGTTAGTCTGAGGGAGGGCTGTGCATGTCAGTGACTCCCTCCGAGACCAAATTGTGAGGGGACGGGGCCACGTGGCTCTGGGAGCAACAGTCCTCTTCCTGAGCACTCCCCCTGCCCACCTCTTGAACCTTCAGAAATCAGACACTTCGGGTTGGCTCCGGACTGACGGCCTGAGTGCAAGCATGCCCGAAACCGCTGGGCAGGTGGCCATGCCTAAGGATCACTGGCTTGGATGGAGTTACATGTGGGCAGCCAAGCCCAGCCTAAGCCAGGGTTGCCCTTGTTCGAGAAGGTCACGTCCACTTTGGGGCAAAGGGAGGCGGGCTCACGGGCTCCCCGTTCCCCCTCCAACTGTTGCAAGCCGTCCGGAGACGTTCTGTGGGGGATGGGATGGAAAGGCTTTTAACAAACGAACGGCAGTCCGCCCGTCCTGTCGCACAGGATTTTGTGATTGGCCTCTCCATCCTGCTGCGTGGAACCGTGCGAGAGAAGCTGAGCTGGGCATTCAACCTCTACGACATCAACAAGGATGGCTGCATTACCAAGGAGGTAACACCCAGGGACCCTCCCGCCTGCGCCTGGCGGCAAGGCTCTCCGTCGTGAAATGCCCCGCCCGGTTTTACTTGGGACAGTCGCTTGTCTTGTTCCCTGCTGCTAAAAACCGTCCCGTTTGGCCAAATCTTTTCATGCATGTGCGTGCGTGCCCTATTAAAACATTAGAGGGAATTGTGAGTTTCTTTAGTTCCCCCCTCAAGTGTGATGTTTCCAGGTGAAACTTCCAGATGTTTCCTGAAGCTGCTGCAGGAAGCAGCAGGCATGTCTTCCAACCGCAGTCACGTTGGAAGAGGGAACGTGGCCCAAGGCAGGACTCGGAAATATGGAGACCTCCCTTGGCTCCCCCGCCCTTGATTTATACCCTGCCTTTTTCCTACCAAGGGCTCAAGGCAGCTTACATCATTCTCCTCCTCCATCTTGTCCCCACAACAACAACCCTGCGAGGCAGGCTGGGCTGAGAGTCTGTGACTGGCCCAAAGTCACCCAGTGGGCTCCATGGCCGAGCAGGGACTCGAACCTGGATCGCCCGAGTCCCAGTCCCACGCTCTAACCACTATGCCACCCCGGCTTGCCCTGAAGCAGCTCTTGTCCATCACCACACATCCCTTCGCAGAGAATGGGCTGTTAGACCTGCTTTCGTCAGGAGGATGGAAGCGGGGGCGGGGGCTGGGGGGAACCCGACCCACTGGCCGCTTGCACTGAAAGCAATGCTTTCCCTCTGCCCCAGGAGATGTTGGCCATCATGAAGTCCATCTACGACATGATGGGCCGTTACACCTACCCAGTCTTGCGGGAAGACGCTCCCTACGAGCACGTGGAGAGGTTCTTCCAGGTAGGCGGGGGGGGGGGGCGGTCCTTCCCAAGGGGCAGCCCATTACCCAGCATGCACAGGGTCAGGAAGCAGCAAATGTGCAGCAGCTGACATGGCAGCAGCTGCTATTCCAGGGCACGCAAACGTCTATGGAAAAGGCTTCGGGGCCCTTCAGCAGAAAGCCCACCTCCAAGCGTGGAAGATCTCCTGGACGCCGCATGCTGGGTGGCCGAGGCCACGGGGATGGCTCCAACATGCCTGCCCATTTTGGAGTAAAGCTCCTGCTGCCCGTACACCTTGGGAGAGGTGCTTCGGCCTTTTAGAGTGGGGGAAAACACCTGCCGAAAGAGGGCCAGCGAGAGGGCAGGCAGGAGGAAGCGGCGTGGCCAGAGGGGCGGGCATGGCCCCCTGGGGACCCGGCAGGTGCGACTGGGGTCACTCGGGAGCAAGGCAGCGCTCACAGCCGCTCCTCGTTTCGCTCGGGGGGCCACCGGGAGGGCGAGGCTTGCGGCTGGGCTTTACGGTGGCTGGAGGGCCAAGCCCCACCGCTGGGCTGACTCGGGCCCACAGCGGGCGGGATGTCCAGCAGAGACTTGCCTGCATCTATGCAGGCTGGTAAAGAACAGGAAGGGTGGGAGGCGCCTCTGGAGGGGCTGGACCAGGCGCCTGCCGCTCAGAGTGTGCCTTTTGCGTTTCAGAAAATGGACAGAAATCAAGATGGCGTGGTCACAATCGAAGAGTTCCTAGAAACCTGTCAAACGGTGAGCTGAGGCCGGGTGAGGCAGAGTCCTGCAGCAGGAGAGCCCAGCCTGGTAAACTGCTCCCTCCCCGCAGCAGCTTTCCTGCGACCCAAACTGCCAAACCCTCCAAACATCTTTGGTCGTTCTGAGCAGGTTTGGTTCCAGCTTGTCCACCGATGAAGGGGCCACCTTCTCACTGGTAATGGGAAGGAAAAAATACTGGCTTCCAGGCAGTTCGGAGGGGGCTTTCGTTCCTGCAAAACTGCACATCCTCTGTGATGGTGTTTCCTTGCTGGGATGATGTGACCTGGCTGCTTCCTCCATGGTCCTGCACTATATGCCTGATAACTGGCACACTTTCTGAATCAAAATGAGGGACTCGTTTTCGTAGTTTGAGTGTAAGAGTCTCCCCTTGTTGTGTCCCTGAATGAGTCTCTGCTCTGGGTGTGCCTTCTGTTGGAAAGCAAGAGATGCAACAGGCAGCCTCCTCTAAGGGGAACTAATTCTGCCATGTCTGCAATGAAAGAGGCTGACAGCCCTAGAGCCTGCTCTGAAGGAATGGGGATCACAGCAATCAGTCGGGCAGAAACAGCGGGCTCCCTCCTAAGTGCAGACGAGCGCTTTTGAGCCATTACTGACTTTACTGATTTCTTGATGCTGAGTGTTTGGGAATTGCTCTGTTCACACTACAGGCACAGAGGTGGTGCATGGAGTTCTCGTTTTGCATTGTCGCCTCCATCTTCAGCTTGTGTGCGCGCTCTCTCTCTCTCTCTCTCTCTGCTTCAGGATGAGAACATCATGAGCTCCATGCAGCTGTTTGAGAATGTCATTTAGGGTGTGAAGGATCCTGCGTCTCTCCTGATCCACCTGCCTCCTTGGCTTGCACTCAGACGGAACCACCCGTCTTCCTCATGAAGCACACACACAAGCAACCAAAAACTCTTTTTATATTCAGAGGACGGGGCACAGACCAAAAGGGGAGAGATCCCTCTTGCTCGCATGAGGCGCCGCATTCCCACTCCAGGCGTCTCGGAACAGGAGGCAGGCCACACCGGTGGGAGAAAACCCAAGGGAAAGGCCGTTCCAAGGAGAAGTGGCACCTCCGCGCAGGGACAAATGGCTCCAGCAGGCCGGCGAGGCAGGGCCCTCCTTTTCGAGCATGAATCAACGCCTCTCCCCCAACTCCTTTGTTAAGCCCAACCCTCACGCACCCCGGGCTTCATGAACCGCAGAGGAACATCCAAAAAAATCTCTACGGAAGCCAGTGCAAACTCATCCATTTCTGTGGAAACTGCCCAGGAGAACTTGGGAGGAGGTTGTCCCCTGTGGCTCCATCTTCGTCCATCTGCCATCTCTAATGGCACTCACCTGGTGTCAGTTACCTGTCAGGCAATGCTGCCTCCGCCCTGTGCCCACTGGGCATTCCTGCTCCTGGTCCACCCCAGAATGAACCCCGAGCATCGGACAAGGTCCGCACTGCACATTTTCCCACAGTCCCCTTTCAGCTAAAGTGAGAAGTGTGTCTTTCGCAAGGCAACCCGTGCTGATCCCGCTCCCAAACGCCCTGCCCCGGGAGGCAGAGGGTGCTGAGAGAGGGTACCCCTGGCGCAACTCTGCAGGGCTGCGGAAGTGCCGGCGACCCTTGGTAGCTCTGCTGCTCTGCACTGTACTAGCTGTTTACACTGGCAGCTTCTTTGCAGCAAGAATGCTCAACAAATTCCTCTCCACTTATTTTGTATCGGGATTTTACCCAGTTTTCACTTTCCAGGCTTGGATGCAACCTGCAGCCAAAGTCTGCACATTTTGAAGCTTTTAATGTGATTCATGGACACTCCCCAAATGGCCTTGGTAGCACTCATGCATTTAAAGGAATGTGCATGAAACAAAATGCCTTTGACAAATGCACACTAACACTCTGTAAACAAATGGGAGAAAAATGTGTGCATTGCTAAGATGAACACACTTGATGTGCGCTTTTAGGGAAATACGCATGAAAGTATGCACAATTTGCGCAAAAAGGCAAAACCCAACACGACACAAGATGCAACTGGTTTCAGGGGTGGAATTTAGAGCCTTCAGCGGAAAACGTTGGGGAGGAGCACGGCCCTCCTCCGCAAACACCCTGCTGGAAGGAAAGCAAGGGCCACTTTCTTTTTTATAACCTCCTTTTCTACCCATGCCAATGGGTTCATGCTGGCTAACAATAACAGGAACCAAATTTAGAATAAAGACTTGGTTCAAGCGATCACCAAAAAACCATTAAAATGCCATCGGAAAACACCAACAGGAAGAGCATGAAAAGAGCACCTGACGGGCCAGCTTACATGCCAAAGGACTGCTTGAAAAAAGGCCCCTCTGCAGTCTCCAGGTGACTAGCAGGGAGGGAACTCCCTCGCCTCCTTCAGCAACCAGAACTGCATCCTAGAAACAGCCCCCAAAAAGACGCCTCAGGATGCCAGCGTCATCGGGCGAATCTGGCCCCAGTGTCCCATGCAAGGGACTTCAGAGCCCCTGCCCCCAAGCGGCCCCGCTTCCCACATCAACTTCTCTGCTCAAGGGCCTCTGGGCATTTGCAGAGGGCTCCAGGGTGCGTTAAGATGCCTGTCCCACGGAGGGAGGTGGCCGGTGGTCTGACCAGCGTCCTGCGTGGACTGACCACGTGCCCTGCCCGTCCTCCAGGAAGTGCTGCGAAAAGCACAGGGAGGAGAGCCGTCCCCCCGAGAGTCCAGGCCGCCCGTCACAGATGCTCCTGCCACCCCGTGGGCTTCACAGAATGGGGGGGGGATGGGGGGCTTCAGCGCCCTCCCATCCATCAGCTCCTGGCCCACAACCGGCCTGCTGGCCTGCTTGATCGGGAGAGAGCCACAACGCGTCGCAAAACAGGGATCTGTGCAAATCACGGCAGGTTTCCTTCTCTCTCCCCTTTTTCTTTTACAAGTTACTGCTGCACACCAGCATCTACCCCCATGAATTCAATTAAGTGGGGGGGGGGGAGAACCAGGTCCACGAAGGTTCACAGCAGGGCATGCGCTCTTGGGCAAGTGTAGACGGCGAACAGGCCTACAACGCCAAGCACGTTCCAGCCAGCCTCTTCTCTGCACGGGATGGTGCCTTTAACCTCCTTTGTGTTACCTAGTGACACAGTGACAGTGACACAGTGACACCTAGTGACTTAGGAAGGGAAGGAACGAAACTGGGAGAACATTGGCCAAATCCTGCCTTGCAGTGGCTTGTACAAAGTGTGTCCGCTGAAGATGCTGATTGGCAACTCACAAATGTTTTCGTAGCCACTGCAGGAACAAGATCATTCAAAGCACCCCCACAAATCCCAGGAGAAATTCGGGGGGGGGGTCACTGGAGCGCCGATGAAAGCCACCTTCCGGCCCCATTTTCCCCAACCGTGATGGAACGTGGCCCTTGAACGGGGGCATGCGTGCCCCCTGATTTGTTGATGACACCGTTTCCCCACATCCTGCTTCCTGCTCTCTCGAGACCCGGACAGCAGACGGCCTTCTGTCCCCACCTCTTCTCCCTGCTCCAGTTGCTACCCAGGCTACAAAGCGTGGTCAGAAGCCCCCTCCCACGGACTCCCCACATCCTTCTCAAGATGACGCGAGTCTGCACCTGACGCTCCCCGAGTCAGCGCATGTGCCGAACGAGGAACGGCCACACCTCCCGCCCCAAGCCCCTTCTGCTCCAGCTGCTCCTCAGCTTCTGCTCACAGCACAACCTGGGAAGACAGTTGCTGCTCCTTCTTCTCTGCAGCTACGTGATATTCCATCACTGTATATTTTAATAAAATAAACCAAAAGACCCAGAAGTGCCTGCCTGTCGTGCTTCTCTACCGCCAGGAAGGACCAGCATTAGTTTTTGTTCCAGTAGGCCAAGGGAGCTGCAGCTAGGTGGCTGTTTCCCAGGTGAACATGCCCCTTTCATGGACTCCACGGAGGGGCGCTTTCCTCCTCAGGCTGAAATGCCTCTTCTGGGGCCATCTGTGCCCTTGCTCCCGCTTGTGAGTCTCCCTCCCCGCCCCCAGAAGACCCCCCACAACACCAACAGAGCTGCAGCTGGTGCAGAAGGACGTGGGCTGGCTGCACGGATGGGGCAGTGCTCCAGCTCTGGTCCCAGGCACACCCTCTTCCTCGCAACCATCCCCATTCCATACTGCACTGAAAGCCATCAAGCCAACCCATGAGCTGGGACTGAACCAGCCACGTAAATTGTTCCGAACTGCACATTTTCCTGGGACTTTCTGCCATTTACAGCTGGCTATTTTCTGCCTTTCAACCACTTAAATTTAAGAAAATTCAGACATGATCCCCAAAGGAGTCCGGGTGTTCTCCCATCTTACTGGCCAGGCATAACTGAGCGTGAGACGCCCATGCAAGGCACTTGTCTTTCCCACTTTGGGAATTCTGTACTCCCCAGAAGATGGGCCCTTTGAAGTACTGGAAGTAGTGCGTGAGGTCACTTCTACGTAACATCCATTACTCAAAATTAAAAAGGAAACCACTTTTAATATTTTATCATTCACTAATGCACCAGAGTCAAAATAACCCAGCAATCACCTGCCCTGAACTCACAGCTCATTGATTAAAATTGTCTCCCATCGATGGGTCAACTAATCAATGACTACTTCATTAATCTACTGATTAAACCCTCTGAAAGAGTTCTTTGGCATTAGCTATAATTGATTCGATGCGAGTACACCTCTGTCTGATCTCTTCTGCATTTTTAGGGTCCCTTGGTTTTTGAAAAAGTCATTTAAACATTTTTGAAAAGAGTAATTTAAAAGTCATTTAAGTGGGGTGTACTCTCCCTGTAAGTATGCATAATACTTCAGCCCTAATTACATGCAATGCTTTCAGAAAACAAGTGTGCATAATGAAAACTGCAAACTTTAGATGGGACGATGTCCTTGACTGCAAGGCAGATTTCCTGGTGGTGTTTAGACACCCCGACAGTCTCTTCCAATCGTGGTTAGTCACTGCTGCTCATGGGAAACACTCTAGAAACCCAGGGCTTTACCTTTGCTGCTAGGTGGCAAGACAGTCACCCCTCAGTGCAGGGAGCAGATGCAGAGGTTTTCGTTTGCACCTTCCAGCATCCCTGTGCGCAGAGAAAAATGGGATTTCAATAAACAGAAGCTTAAACATCCATCCTGCAAGCACGTCCTGCACTAAAACGAAAAATAAACCGCCTGGTGCTGTTCGAGCAGAGGCTGGGCAGGGTGCGGAGAGGGACGCGGCTGGGGGGCACTCTGTTTCTGCTGTGGGCTGGCCACAGGCCGACAGTGTCATCCCTGCACTTTGGAGATGGGCGGCACCAAGGCTGGAAGGACGGTCCTGAGGACACCCCACCATGCGGCAGAATGAGGCTGTTGCCCTGGGGGGCAGATGCTGGGGGGCAGCCCCTCCAGAGCCCCGTCAGGGGATGCCTCCTTGGGCCTGGCTTTCTCATCCCCTCCAGGGCCTTGACTCCGTTGGGAAAGGCCTCCGACTCGTGGGTCTTGGGTGCAGTGGAGGCGGCGCAGTGCGGCAAGGGGGTGGCTGGCACCAGGTGGAGGAGGCCCCGCCCCGCACTGTCCCCCCCCCCTCAGGCAGGAGCTGCCCTGGGCCAGCCCTGGGGAGGGCCACCGGTGCACTGCCAGAACAGAGGAAAAGGAAAGCTCTCACGCGCGGAGGCCTGTTCCTAGAAATGCAGCCACCTGGCGGGGCAGAGCCTGCTCTCTCTCGTGGCCCTCATACAGATGGGCCTCTCCAGGGCAACCCGAGAAACCTGGGCTAGCCTTCCCGGCTGCCCGCAGGAGGGGCGGGGATGCCAGGCACTCCCACCCATGTCCGCCCACGGCCGGCGCCCGCAGGCACATGGCGGCTGAGGGTGGGGGGGAGCAGGGGGCCGCAGGGACAAGCAGCCAGGGCGGCGCCCTCCGCCAGGGCTCGGCCCAGCCCCCTCGGGAGCCGCCCAAGGCCAGGCCCGGCGGGGCCGCCTGCCAAGCGAGGGCCCCCCGCGAGAGGACATGCCCCTCTGCAGGGGCCCCGGGGCAAACAGCCCGGAGGGCAGCCCCCTAAGGCTCTGCTGGGGCCACTGGACGGCAAGCGCGAGTGGCTCCGGCGGCGCGGTTTCTCCGGGGATGGTAGCAGCTGCAGCGCCTCCCCCGCTCGCTGCCCCGGCTCCCAGCGGGTCGTGCGCCCGCCCGAGCAACGCGCGGCCGATCTCGCGAGAACGCGGAAGAGGAGCATGCTGGGAGTCGCAGTCTCGCGGCGAGGAGGCTCGGCAGTGGGCGTGAAGGGCGCCACGCAGGGCCGTAGAGATAGTCGGAGGCTGCGGCGGCTCCGAGCCCGGGATCGGAGAGGGGATTCGGGGTGGGACGGCGCCCGGTGAAGGCTCGTCGTCCTGGGAGAAAACGGCCCCCTGCTCCGCGTATTTCAAACGTGGGGGGGCCTTTCAGTAGGGAGGTCGATGTGTCGGGCACGTGCCGCCCTCCAGGCCTCGCTCCGCGATGACGACAAGAGCCGCGGAGCAGAGACAGGAATAGCGGAGAGTGACATTCCACCGTTAGCGCAGCTTGTGGGATCACGGACGGGCTGCTTTGCTTCCTCGCTCCCCTCTGAGGATCGCAGCAGCCTGACCGTCGATCCTTTCCCCATTCATTACTATGGCTATCTCTCGCTCTGCGACCGAGACGTCCCTGAGCAGCCATGCACTTCGTGCCCTCTGCTTTCCTATCTCTGCGTTCACCGCGGGACCCTCCTTCCAGCGTCTCATCGGTCGCCAGCACGGCGGCCTGCCGCGAGGCCCTCTGGGAACTGTAGTGCACCCACCTGGCCGCCCGGAGCGGATTGCGGCCAGAAGCGGAAGGGGCTGGGCGGCCGTGCCGGGGGCCCCGCGGCTTCCTCGTCCCGGACGTGGAGGTATCTGAGCGGGGCTGGGCGGCTGCGGGCCCCGCAAGGCTCCGGGCAGGGCAGGGCTGGGCGCCCCCCTGCCGTTCCCGGAGATGCCTGCGCGCTCGGCTTCATGCGCTCCTCACCTCGCAGCAATGGGGGGGGGGGGGGCGCCGGGAGGCCGCGGGGCCACGTAGCGCAGAGATCCGGGGCGCAGGGCCTGGGGACCCCGAAAAGGAGGGGAAATGCCCGAATGTGCGCTTGCTCTACAGTTTGCGACGGTTCCCATCTGCTAAGGCCGCCCCATTGCTAAAAAAGGGAGGAGGAGGGAAGGATGCATGGACCGGGAGGAAGAGAGGGTGCGATTTTGGGAACCTCCTCAGGCAGAAGGGTTCAGGCTTTGGGGGGGGGGGGGCAGCAGGAGCGAGCCCCGCGCCTCTTCTTCCAGGGGATCCGCTGCAGCAGGGAGAGCCGCACCTGTAAGATCCTTTTAGTGAAAGGGATCTGGGGAGAAACCCGCCCTGGAGCGGTGCCTTCCCCGCCCTCTGTTGCCTGCTAAGCAGTTGCCCTGGTAAGAGGAATTTCCCAATACATTTTGTTAATTGCCACAAAAAACAAAATACACAGAGGGGTACTTGATGAGGAGCAATTCCCCCTCTCAGTTTTTCTTGCTGCAGTTTTCCAAAGTGATGGGCAGCGTAGTCCCTTCTCTTTTGCCCCAGGGATGATCCCACTCGTCAACTGGTGGGCTCCCCCTGTCTCGGGGGTCCGACCCTTGACCTGCCAGAACCACCGCTTGGCTCCCGGGCTCTTCCCCACCCACCTCCGCAGGGGCCGTAGCGGGATGCCTGGCTGCCTGAAGCAGAGCAGCATCGTATTGGTGTAAGGCTTAAATGCCTTAGAACCATTCTTTGTTAAGGGCTTGAGTGACTTACAACACATTTAAAGCGTGTGCAGAAGGAAAAGAATTGGAATCGGTCAAACCAGTTATCCGTAAAATGCCGTGACCCCATAGCACAAACAGTTCCACAGAGCGGCTTGGTGTTTGTCCGCTGTGGAAATCTGCAGGAATCCTGAGGCATGAAAGCTTAAAACCCATGAACTGGGATTGCCGCCACCTTTTTCCTTTTTTGGCGCAACAGCTGAGATGCAGAAACACACCAAGCTTTTTCCAGCGCTCGATTTCCATGCCAGGAAAGGCTTCCCTTGCTAAATCTGTGCAGGTCAAGTACGCTCTTTGGGGGAGGACCAGAGAGGAGGTGAGGCAAGGGAACGGGACGGACTTGGCTCCCCCTGTGGCCAGAGCTCATCTCTGGGGGGAGGGGGCATGTGCGCAAAGGCCTGGATGCTGGGATGAGGCATCTGGAGGAGCTGCCAGGCACTCTGGCTACCCTGTTCCATTTACGCTTCCCTCTGCTGCTGCGAGGGTTCGCCATCTTTGTTCTGTGAGTTCCTAGCCTGGTGGGTGGTCTGACCTTTCCTTAGTCTTCTGCAACAGGACAGCCAATCCTCATCAGAGCTGTCCCTTCCTCCTCAGCGTCTGTCTTGCAGGCTTTGGCCAGCTCCTTCCTGCCTCATGTCCGCAAAGTCCTCCTGGCCCTTTCACATCCTTTCCAGCCGTCAGTTTCCAAGCTAGGCCTCTGTTCACTCCACACCCGTGCGGCGTATCTTGGTGCCTTTTAGCACGTAGACTTCCTCAAAAAAAGCAAAAAGAAAAAGCATATCGTATTTGAGGTAAAAAGAAAAAACCCTGGAAAGTATCCTTACAAGAACGCCAACCATAGCTTTCAGGATGCTTTCCCTTAATTACCACAGCCATAACGATCTGGCATGACAAGGAGCACAGGAGGCAGCGCAGTGGCACATTTAGTCTGCATACTGCCCAGCCACCAAAGTGCAGCTGCGTGCTCTGAGTGGCAGTTACTCAAATATGCCTTTCGGACTGGCCAAATACATCCGATTATGTAATTCGCAAGCTCTTCTGTGGCTCAAGTGGCAGGACCTTATGCCATGCAGGATTACGGCCAGGGCCAAGTGGCTGTTTTTAAAGCGACTCCCCGCAACTGTGCCTTGCATGCAGCATTCCGAACCCTGTTCCTTCCACCCCGGACCCAGGCCAGCGCCGTAGTGCACACATTACTTTGAGCCACGGATAATCGAGGGAGATGTTGCCGGGTTTGGGGCCATGTTGAACGCTTACCTCCTGCCCCAGCTTCGTAACTTGTGGGTATGCCGGCCATATGCAGGTTCTGGTCCCCGTGTAAGGGAACAGAATTTTCAGCAACTGATGTACCAGTAAATTTCCCTTAGGAAGTCACTTCCCTCCTGTATCCAAGAATGGATAAACTATTAAAAATAAATGCCAAGAATAGCCTCGGTTATCTTGCTCCTCCTCTCTGACCTAACTGCTCAGCTTTCTCAGCCTTCCTTCTCTCTGGTGGGACTTTGCTCCCTCCCAACGCCAACGGTGTTTAACTGTTTTGGAAGGGGCTTCCACCCAGTTTTGTAGGCTGTATAATGTGTAACAGTATTAAGGAATGGCTGGACGGTGGGGGGGGCGCTCCACTCACCAGCCCCCTCCCTGCTTCCCTGCCTTTTGCCGAGTCTGCTCTCTCCGCTTACCTGCAGCTTCGAATGCAGGGCTCGCTGCAGAGGGTCCTCGGGGGTCTCGGGCGCAGTGGGGCGCAGCTGCAGGGCCACGGCTGGAGGCTGCCGGGGGCCAGGGGGTGCTCCCACCTGTGCCGCGCCATGAGGCTGGTCCAGTTCTGCAGCAGAGGCTCGGCCGCTGAGCCCCGGATCGGCCTGGAGGCGGAGGAGGGAGGAGACGTGGTCGACCTCTGCGCTTCTGAGCCCTCTCTGCCCAGGACCATGCGGGCCTTCCTGGAGGGCGGAGACGCAGCGCTCGCGGTGGCCAGGAGGTACGTGCAGTTCTGCAGGCCCCTGAAGGGGGCTCTGGGCAGGGGCAGCGAGGACGTGGGGGTGCTGCAGTCTGGGTTGGGGGCTTCCTCGGCCTTTTTGGCAAGGCGTTGTGGGGGGCAGCGTGGCTGGAGAAGCAAGCGGAATACATGGGGTGCAGGTGAAGGGACAGCATACCTCAATGCCCCCCCTTGCCGTCTCATGCTCCCCCAGCCCCTGCCCTCCCATCTTTCTCACAGAGAGGCCTCGGCTGAACCTCTCTCCCAAAACGGAGCCGCAGGACCTCCGGCCTGCCCCGCTCCCTTATTTCTTCTCCCGTTCCGTCTCGCAATGCTCGTGTGGGATCTGTGGGTCCCCCGGGGCAGGGGCGGGCTCGTTTGCTCATGCTCTGCTTCGAGGCACTGTGAGGGGCAGTTGCATGGCTGCCACAATCCTGCCAGCCGTCCCTGTTCCCCGCGGTGGGGGCCTTGTGTCAGGGCCCTTTTCTGCAGTCTGCTTGCAGGATGAAAAGGGGGCTGGCTGAGGAGCATCGGAGGCCATGCCTGCAATCTTATGCCTGCCCGCTCAAGAATCGCCCCACTTGCTCCAAGCGGGAGTTTCTCCAGGACAAGCATGCCCAGTCGGTCCTATGCTAGATGCCTCAGTCCATGGGGGCTCCCTGTATATAACAGCCAGGCCCTCTGGCTTGTTCTTACAGGAAGCAAAAGGACAGGCAAAACAGGAAGCTGTTTCCTCCGCACCCGGGCCCTGCCCTCAAGCAGAGGGGGGCAGCGGCTGATCCGGAGGATGTGGGTTTAACATTCAGCAGTGCCTGATGTTGCGTTGCGGTTCCCACAGTGTGGCAGAGACATTCGTAGAATGTGCTCCCCTGGGTGTTGGAATGATTTGGCAGGCCAAAATGGCTTGGGAGAAAGGCAAAACCCTTGCATAGGTGCTGGCTTTTCTTTTCCTTTTTACCCTATTCAGTTCTTTTTACTGGTCCCCGTCCCTAATCACTGTGATAGTTAAAACCACCTGCAAGGTAGGTGGGTAGTATACTCCCTGTATGGCTGGCGCAGGGGGTGAGGCCACGGGTTCACAGCTTGCTAATCCACCGAGAGCAAAACAGCAGCTCAAGCTGGAGAAGGCCAGCGATTTTTCAGGACCATCGGAAGAGTTCTCCCTCCCCCTCGTAACCCCATGCGGTTACTGTTGGTGAAACTGGGTTGGTAGGTTTTTGAAGCCGTGCATGAACCGTACTGCTTGGCAGTACTCAAAGCGGGTGGGTCCACACGGATCCCTCATTCCCGCCACCCTGTGATCCGTCTGGGGCTTCGGTTTCGCCATCATTTCACCCCACGCGCACTCGGGGAAAGCTCTCCTTTTGAGGACGTTTGCAAATCCTTGCTGTACCTACAGAGCGCAGGCGTCTGGCCAGCACATCCTGCCCCGGGCCCAGCTGACTCTCCTGGCTCCCATCACAAACCCCGACAAAGTGATCTGTGTCGGCATGAACTATAAGGATCATTGCCTGGAGCAAAATGTGAGCATCCCCACGGAGCCAATCATATTCAGCAAGTTCTCCAGCTCCATCGTGGGGCCCTATGATGACATCATCCACCCAGAAGAAAGCAGCGTAAGGACCACCCCGCCCCCCCCCCCCCGCCTCGGCTAGGGGTCATTTTTCAAGGAGGCCAGGGTGCCTGGGTTTCGGCAGGTGTGCAGGCAGGAGCAGGGGTGGTATCGTCCACCGGGCTTCCGGACTCCCGGAACTGTTTGTGAGCTGCCGAGCTGCAAGACAGCTGTGCACCAGTTGCCTCCACGGAATGCGTGAAGTTTCTAGTTCATATGATGGTGGAGAAAGACTTGGGAAAGTGTGGGGCGCTTCGGTCAATCTGAGGCGGCAGCAGTGATTGCACCGGGGCCAGTAGCCATGGCGGTTCGGTCTTCTGGGCTTCTTGTCCCAGTTCCGCTGCCTGTCATCTTCCCTTTCTACACTTCATTGGATCATCTGGACTGTGGAAGCACGAGTCTGTTCCCACTGGCTCATTCCGGCAGCCCGTTTTTCCTTGGCACAGAATTCGGAGGCAGTCGCTCTTTGTGCCACAAAGGCCTCCGCATGCCACACCACACACAAGTTCCTTGGAATGGCGAACCTTTACTTGGCCGCATAGACGTGCGGGCTGTTTCGACCAGCGTCATCTGTGGGCGTCTTCCCCAAGCCAGAGGGTTCTTTTAAGAGCTCTGGCCCGAGGGCTGGTGCGGGCCGCCATGGCTTCCCTCGCCCGGACTGTCTCCCCGCTGCCTGGCGTGCCCACGGACAGGCACCCATGCCACAGGAAGCGCTGGGGATCACCTCCCCAGCCCAGCCGGGCACAGTTTCCCTGGCAGCTTCGCTAGTCAGCCCGCGGCCTGCCCCGTGCCGAGGGGGAAGTTGATCCATGCGTTTCCTCTTCCAGGAAGTTGACTGGGAAGCAGAGCTGGCCTTTGTCATTGGGAAGAAAGGGAAGCACATCCAGGTAATGCACAGGTTGGCGGTGGGAGCCTAGGGATCAGCGGCGCACCTTTCCGGCTGGGAAACCTGAACTGGGCCTCCTTGTTGGCATTTCCTTACTCACCTTTCCCTGGGCGACCAGGGCAAGCACTGCAAGGCTAACAGTGCAAGCACCGGCATGCCTACTCAGAAGTAAGTTCCACTGAGTGCAGGGGTGCTTCTTCCTGAATCCGTGGCATTAGGATTTGCAGCCGACCCGTGCATTTCATTTCTTCCTTTATTAAAATGCTTCTGTGCCACTTCGTAGATACAGGGCCATAACTGGTTCACTTGAAAAAAAAACCAGCACAAATAAAGTAACACATAATTGGAACATGGCAAGGCGACATGATGCTGGGAGGGAGAGGAGTAGAGGCAGAGGGTTAAGGCCCAGGTGCGGAGGGTCTGGTGACGATGCGGTGATGCCCGTCCCCCGCAGGAGTCCCATGCCATGGAGCACGTGGCTGGGTTCACGGTTGCCAACGACGTGAGTGCCAGAGACTGGCAGATGAAGAGGAACGGGAAGCAGTGGCTTCTGGGGAAAACCTTCGACACCTTCTGCCCGCTGGGGCCAGCCCTGGTCACCAGGGACTCCATCTCAGGTTTGGAGGGGGTGCCCTGGGGCGGGCGTGGGCCTGAGCGCCCGGTGGACTCGGCAGCACGGTGGGGCCCACCTGGCTTGTAAGCCACGGTGGCTTGCCCGGCCTGGCTCGCCCCGCCGTCCCAGGGGCTGAGCCTGCCATGGCCTGTCTCCCCCGCTAGGGCGGGATCAGGGCCCCCCCTCAGCTGCACGAAGTCATGCAAAGGCGTGCCGCTGCAGTGCGGAAGTGGCGCCCCTCCGAAGCGGCGTCGGCGCTTCCCCCCACGGCCTCTCTCTCGCCACAGACCCCCACAACTTGGGCATCCGCTGCCGAGTGAACGGGACCCTGGTCCAGAACAGCAGCACCAAGCAGCTGATCTTCAGAACGGAGGCGCTTGTGGCCTGGGTCTCCCGGTGAGTCCTGCCCCCTCCCCTCCCTCCCTCCCTCCCGGGGAAGAGAAGATCGAGCCCCAGCAGATCATAAGGAGGAAAGGGGTCGGTGGCTGAGGAGGCTGTGAAATGCCCCCTTGGGCTGCCGCTGCCCCTTGTTTCTCGGCGCGGCCGCTTGGGCTACTGGCAGTGCGAACGGGCCCGGGGCCGCCTCGGCGCAGCTCCAGCTCGCAAGGGGAAGAGCCCGCCGCAGGCACTGAGGTGTCCGGGGGGTTGCTCTGCCAGGCCTCCCGGGCCGCCTGCACGGTGCCTGGCCCTGCTTTCACAGAAGCCTGCTCCTCGCGCGCCCGGGGGTACATGTGGCGGCTGCCACGGAGGGCCGCTCCAGACTTGCATGCGTGCGCAGGCTATGGGATGCTACTTCCCCCCACCCCCGGGCCAGAGGATGGATACGCAGGTTGCTCACCTGCAGCTGTCGCTCTGCGAGTGGCCATCTGTGCATTCACACATCATGGGCGCTGCGCCTGCGCAGTGCCTGTTGCCGGGAAGATTAAACGGCTTTAACGGTTTTCGGCGGGAACTCTGCGCCCTCCCCACGCCTGGTATAAACGGGCGGGCAGAGTGCCCACCATTTCCCCAGGCAGCTGGAGACTCCGTTCGCCCCCAGAGGGAGAAAGGGTGGCATTGAATCTGACTGGTAGAGTCAAGGACAGGAATAAATTATATATACTGGAATGCATATAAACGTGTGTGTGTATGTATGTATGTTGAAAGAGGTGGTGGCAGACTTGTCAGTCGGGCTCCCGCTTGTGTGTTGTCGACGTGTGTCTGCTGAGAGTCGGCTTCTTTGTTGTCAGTGCCTGCGAGATGGACAGCTCGAGGAGTTCCCCTGTGGGCAGTGCACCGGTTCCACAGGCGGAGAGCGAGGTGAGCTAACGGCGCCGACCTCATACCGCCCTGTTTATGTAGAACATGGTGACAATGTTGTCCGATGCCATTTGTATGGTGTGGTCTTGAAGGATGTTCTTGAAGGAACGCAGGGCTTTGAAGACCACCAGCAGTGCCAGGAAGTTGATGTGCCTGGTGGTCTCGTGTCTGTGCCAAGTGCCTTGGGTCCGAAAGGATGTGCAGTGAGCACCGCACCCAGTCAGGGGGGTGCTGGTACACAGAGCCAAAGTTGGTTGAGGTAGATGGAATGGGACTCCGCAGGAGAGGTTGGTATCAATCGTCCACCAAGACAAGGTCTGAAGAACTGAGAGAGGTGGCTGAAGTAATCGGTTTGGTCGGTGGTGTTATGGGTGAAAATTGTGATTGAACCAGAGCTGTAAGGGTCTCATCTGTAACCTGGCATTCAGCACTACTGAAACTGTAGATGCTGTATCTCTGAGTAGTTGTTGTATCGATCGTGCAGGAACAGTCCACTGGGCAGTGATCCACTGGATGGACGAGAGGAGTCTCTCTTGTCAGTCCTGAGGGAGAAACGCTCGAGTGCATAAGGAATTGAGACGCGCTGCAATGAAACTGACGACCTGAGAAGGAACAAGGCATGATTTTTCAGTATTAATGCAAAGGAGGGAGTAGGTTTTGTTGATGGAGGCTAAAAGGTCATCTCGAGAAGAGGAGATGGTAAGCCAGTCATCGAGGCACGGGTAAATATGAATGCCCTGAAGTCGAAGATGGGCGCACACAGGGGCCATGCACTTGGTGAAAACTCTCGGAGCAGGAGAGAGACCAAATGAGAGTACATCATATTCAGAGACATCAGTACCGACAGTGAACCGGAGGAGGCGTCTGTGAGCAGGATGGGTGCTTATGTGAAAATAGATGTCCTTCAAGTCCAGGGATGAGAACCAATCCTCTTTCCTGAGCAATGGAAGAATATTGTGGAGTGTGGTCATCCTAAATTTCTTGGTTTTAATATATTTGTTGACACCACGCAAGTCCAAAATCAGGCATAGTCCACTGTCTCTCCTCAGTCCTGTAAAGTAGCTAGAGTAGAAACCATGCAGGGGTGCAGTTTGCAAATTGCTCCTTTACAAGGTAGCTGGGTAACTTCTTCCAGAAGGACCAGAGAGGCTGACGTGTCAGTCCAGAAGGTGGCACGGTCTCAAACTCGATTTGGTATCCGTGCTCTATGATGGTGAGAACTCACCTATCAGATGTGATGGACTTCCAGATGGGGAGTCAGCTTTGTAGCCGATTCCCAAAAGGAAGAAGGGAAGGGAAGGGAAGTAGGAGGGATGAGGAGAGGATTGCACGTCCCGTCAACGCTGATGCTCATCAGTCTCAGGACAGCGGCGAGGCTGCTGAAACCGAGCTGCGTTCTGCCTCTGGTTCCTCTGCTGGCTTTGTGGATATTGTTGGCACCCTGCAGTGTGGCTGGTGGCAGGGCTGGTAGTGATACTGGGAACGAGGCTATGGCCACTTAAATTGCTGGTGAGAAGACATCTCCATGTGACAAGCGGCAAGGCAAGCTTGTTGGTCTTGACGTTGATGAGACCAGAGCCATCGAAGGGCATACTCTCCACATGACGCCTGGTCTCCAGTAGCTTCCCAGAGCATTGCCACGTGTGGCGACGAAGGGTGATGGCGCTGACAGGAGCCCTCGAGTCGCAGCTGACGTGTCTCGCTGTGTTGAGCTGTTGGAGAGACGACTGCTTTGCCTCCTGGGTGAACATGTGTGCAAGCTCCCCATGAGGGTTGGGGAGGTAAGAGGTGAGGGACTCGAACTTCTGCATCAGGAAGTACTGATACCGAGCCCTGGCGGCCTCATAATTTGATACACGAAGACCGCACCCCATGGCAGCGTAGATACGACAAGACATCTTGCCGCTCTTCCTGCCTTCCTTGTCAGTCAGTGTTGAGTGCTCCTTGTTCTGTCAACCCTGGGAGGACTCGAGGATGATGGAGTTTGGTTTTGGGGTGTTTAAGTAGGAAAGGGATATCCTGCTCTCGAACCTTATACATGGACTCCAATCATCAGGATGTTGGGTGCAGCTGGTTGGGGAGCTGCCATGTGTCCATCAATATGAGGAACAGTGGAGGCTGGAACTGGAACGAAGCGAGAGGAGTGGGTGCGTGGTAGGGACCCCCCTCCCCACCCGACCCCACTCGCCCAGGCTTGGCAGCGCTGTGGGGGTGCCTCGAGGAAGATCCCAATGGAAGCGTGGAAGGGATCAGCGATAGCCTTGCCTCACTTTTAGTTCAGGTCTCTCTCCCCCCAGTTCCGCCCCTCCGGCAAACTTTCAAGCGCTGCTGAAGCTCCTGCGGCATTCCCAGTGGCCGGTGTGGGGGGGAGGGAGGGAGTGTGCGCGCCTGGGCACAATCAAGCCCAGCATCCCCCGATTTGGGAGCGCTGAATGTGAACATGGCTCCTTCTCTCTGTTATTGCATTTTTCTTTTAAGGCAAAAAATGTCAATGTGTGAGTCGTTTTTTCCTAAACCAAAACCTCAGCACCCAGGTTTTATTGCAGTGTTGGCACTTTGTGATCAATAAGTGGGCTTCGGGTTGCAGTTTGGGCACTCGCCTCTCAAAGGTTTGCCATCACTGAACGAGGAGAATGACGATAGAAGGGCTTTTTAATTTGGGGGGAGGGGAGAAGGGGTGAAACAAGGGGAAAAAATGGGGCGGATCGGATGGGGTTGTAACTTGGATTGGCGTTAAAGTCATAAAGTAGGTAAAGACTGAGAAAAAACTTCTCATAAGAGTACAGACTGGCGAGAGCCAAAGCGAAAAGGCTCGAGGCGCAGCGAACAACGGCTACAAGCAGACAGGGGAAATGGCAAGCGCGCTGCCCATTTGTGCTACGGGGCGGGCAGGGCGCGGAGTCCCTGCCGAAAGCTGTTCGCGCTGTTCAATCGTCCCGCCAACAGGCACTGCGCAGGCGCAGCGCCTGTGATGTGTGATGCACAGAGGCCACGGTGAAGAAGGGGACTGTCCCGTCCTCCGGAGGCTGGGCTGCAGAGCGACAGCGAGGACAACCAGGGCCGGGCAAGAGCCGGGAGGCCGGGCACGTGTGCAGGAAAGACGGCTGGAGCGTTCAGGCTCGGCGGGCTTCGTGCCACAGGCCCAGTGCAGCCCATCCAGCTTTGTTCCCAGTCGGCTCTGACCACCCTTTCTGAATCTTCGGCGGGCAGGTTCGTCACCCTGTACCCGGGAGATGTCGTCCTCACAGGGACTCCCCATGGAGTCGGAGTTTTCCGGAAGCCCCCCGTCTTCCTGAAGGTGAGCACTGCTCTCCACTCACGGTTTCTGGCTCACTTTTCTTCCATGGGGCTGGTAACCGGGTTGACTGTCCTATCACATTCCAGTCCTCAAAATGCATCTTGCAAAGTAACTAACCTGAGTAAGTAAAAGGCTTGCTTTTCGCCCTTGCTCTGAGAATTTGGGGAGTGCTCAGGAGGGCAGCATAACAAGGGCCTTTTGCGATTCTTGTGTTCTGCAGAGAGGGGATGAAGTGCAGTGTGAAATTGACGAGCTGGGAACCATCCGAAACAGGGTCGCATGACGGTCTCCCTGGCACCGCTTCAGCCGGCTGTCCTGCCTGTACTGACTCCAGTCATGAGCACCAATTCAGGAAAGTCTGCAAAAGAGGCCACGGGGACTGTCCTCCCGGCAGGAGTTGCAAGACTGAGGCGGCAGACAGGGCTGGATCCAGTCCAGGAGAACAGCACCATTTCTGGTGCAAGACTGGCTGTAGCCTGCGCATGTGCTTTCCCCTGAAGCAGCACCAGGTTTCCCCGTTCCGACTCAGAATAAAGCAGTGTGGAACTTGGACCAGAGCCGAGTGTTTCGTGCAATGCTTCTTTTCAGCACAGAATGCCGACCAGGCCACAAGCGGAGCATTCGCACAGCTCCACTGAGGTCCTTAACCAGCAGCTGTGTGCGAGTTCGTCCTTTCAGTTGCGTAGCGACAGCGTCTTTCTCCACAACAGCACTGGCGGACGCAGCGGCGGTGCCCCCCCCCCCCGCAGCCAGCAGTGGCGGAGCAGTTCCGCCATTCCTACTCTGGGCTGCGAAGCGTGTCTCAAGGCGAAGGACTATTCTTGTCATCGCAGGCTGGCCTCCATGGGTCTTGGGGCAGGTGCTGCAGGGTGGCCCCCTAAAAGATGCTGGGTTCCCAGGGGTTCTCGGTGCCTAAAATTGGCTCCAGCTTGGAGAACAGGCACGACACGCAAACATACCCGCCACAGACTTCCCCACAGTGTGCCATCGGGCCTGCGGCTTCATGCCGGTCGTGTGTTTTAAGCAAGTACAGCCAGTACAATAGAAGCGTTCTGAAAGGGGGGTGTGTGTGTGTGAACACCAGAACATTTTTAATCCCTATTTTGGTTCCCAGAACATCTTGTACTGCAAATAAGTATTTGCACCGACAGAGTGGGAGGCTCTCGCTCAACGTCACCAGGAAAGCACCCAGTGGAGGATTCTCTAAGCAGATCCAACCCACTTGGAAATTGTTTTTATTACTTGTTAGTTTTACAAACTACACTCCCAGCACGAGATACAAAAAAACAGCAATAAAACAAAACAATTACAGTACAAACAAACCATGCTCTGTCCCCCCCGGCCCAGTAACTCAACATCAGCACTGCATAAAGACACCACTTGGGTGTGTCACTATCAACCTGGCCAGGACCAAATCAAAATAGGTGGCCGGTGGAAAGTTTTACCTGCTCCTCTCTCTTACCAGGTGGTCCGCTTCTTCCCCATCCCTATAGGCTGAACCTACAGCTTCGGGATGCCACCCCAGGCCTCTTGCAGACTTAGCTGTAGATAAACTGCTCTATGAATTTCTCCACTTTCTCTCGGTTCTCTGGATCAGTGAACTCCTCCGAGAGGTGGAGCATGGGCTCCACCGGCACCACGTCTTCCCACAGCACCTGGAACAGAAATTGAGACGTCGGAGAAATCTGGCCACCCCCTCCCACTAATGCAGGAGTTGCCCGCTTCTAGGCCCACAGTTCCCATCAGCCCTGGCCAGCACAGCCAATTCGGAGCGAGGGGTCGCGGGAGGGTCCCAGCCTGCCTGCACCAGCCATGGAGGGAGGCCATGGCTCCCTGTGGGAGCAACGCTTGGCACATGCCGGCCAATGCAGGAAGCCCTCGGCTCCGTCACGTTATGTGCCGTGACGAGAGGAAGAGGTGCAAGCACTCTGCTCCCAAGCACCAAGTGCCTGGAATGCAGTGCAGAATCAGCCGGGGACGCCAGGGCACGTCCCGAGCGATGCACAGAAACTGGGCCGACTGTGGCAGGCACCTTCCTTGCTGGTGCACGCAATGAGCCGGGCACCTGATAAAAGTGCCACAGGAGCGGAGGGGGGCGTAACGGGCCCAGGTGGACACGCAAGCACAGCGGGAAGACCCCTTCCGCTGGGCCCCGTAGGTGCAAGGCTGGGACAGATGGCCTGGGTAGGACAGAGCTAGTGCGCGGTCTGTAGCAGCGACCCGCAGCTTGAATGGCTGGCGCCGGGAGAGGGTCCAGGCGAGCGGGCAGCCAGTGGCAGAGCCGGGGGTTCGGCCTCTACTCGGCTCGAACGCTGGCCCTCCGCCCACCAGCAAAGCTTCCCTCTGTCGTTAACCATCCTGCAGGGCTAAATCGCCGCTGGGCTTTTAAACTGGGGAAACACAGCCGCCCCACCCCGCCCCGCCCCAGGGCAGTGCCCCAAATCGGAAGGGCCTCCCCGCTGTGCTGGAGGGCCGGCCCAGGGAGGCGCCCCCCAGGGACCGGGTGGTGTGGGTGGAACTTGGGCACGGGCCTCCGAGCCCCCTCCTTAGCAAGGTGTTGCCAGCTGGGCTCTGGCCTCAACAGGGACTAGCCATGCCGTTTTCCACAAGCAAGAGGGCAGGGAGATGGATCTTTTCTACCAAGCACAGGGACAAGGAGGCCGAGGTGCCCAGAATGGCCACTGGGCCACGAATGTGACAGGCAGGAAACCGCTGAAGCCGCTGCACCAGGCTCGCCACCTGGATCGGGCCTCCAGGCTTGCAGTCCGGGTTTTCTGGAAGCCATTCCCCAGTGGCATCCCATCACTGGGATTAGGCAAGCCGGCGCCCTCCAGGCGCTTTGAGCTATGGCTTGCAGTTTCTTCCAGCGCCTGCCAGGCCCCCCGCTCTAAACTGGCATGAGGAGGGGGGCTCAGACGTTGCCAACAAGCGCCAGGGGACAGACGAGGCAGGCCACTCACCCCCAGGTCCTTGTAGATCCGGACGGCAACGGAAGCCAGGGCCCGACCGGCGCATTCTGAAAAAGCAGCAGCGGGCGGTTCAGGCGGGGGGTGGGCTTGAGGCTCAGCCTGGCACTCTCTGGCTTTGCCAGCGAATCTGCCAAAATGTGAAGCCCTGGGGGCAACGCTCGCATGTGAAGAGGGAGCCCCTTGTGCAACCCCAGGGCACCAAGCGACCCGCACACCAGCCGAGTGCACCACCCCAAAAATTCCAGGTGGGAGCTGCTGTAGCCTAAGCGATGCAGTTCCAGAAGCCGTGGAGACCCCAGTTCGAATCTTACTCCTGCCATAAACACACAATGTATGTATATTTCTGGCAACCGCAGGGGCTCCCCTGCTTCAGTCTCTCATCTGCAATTTTGGGATAACAATTCAAGCCTTCAGAGATTAGAATACATGATCTGAAAAGTACTTCGAACATGCAAAGCATGCTGGGTAAATGCTATGTATTACTGCATTTTAATCGCTATGTTTTAAGGAGGATGTAAAAGAAAATGAGAGCGTTCAGCAAGGAATCGAGGAGCACTTAAGAACCGTGCTGGGAGAAAGAAAAGTTGAAGGAACTGGGAGAGGTTTATTCTGAGGGAACAGCTGTTTAGAGGGGACGTGCATGAGAGCAGCCTTTGACCAGAAAACTCAGCCTTAACACTGCCATTGCCTTCGGCATGAGAACATGCGGCTTTTGAACTAAGTGTTCAGGCAGCAGAGCATACACTGTCTTTACTGAACCGCCCCTGCCGCCCGCCTGTGACCATGAATGCTGCCCACCGCTAAGCTCGGGCTGCAAGTGGCTCAGGCCGTCTTGCGCCGGCAACACAGAGGGCTTTGGAGAGAGGGCTTGCCCAAAGGGGGCCTGGAAGCCGAGGATCGGCGAGGTACCCGAGGATGATCTCTTCGGGGTTCCCCGGCCCCGCCCCCGGCAGGGTGGGCTCAGGGTGGCTGGGGAAAGGAAGTTTGGCCCACCTCCCTTGGAATCCAGCAGTGCGGGCAAGGGGGGGCACTCTCGCTTCCTTTCTGCCAGAGCCCCAGTCCAGCTGCTCCTCCTCGCAGAGGCTGCTAGCCCTTTTTAAAAGGCGCTTGCGAAGTGCATCCATGCCCTTGGCATCACAGCTCATTTGGCTGCAAGACCACGGAGCCACCGTTCTCCGGGTTTCCAAGCTGAAGCCCGGCTGCTGCAACTGTGCAGACTTGCCTGTGAACATCTCTCTCGCATGTGGTTTTCCTGTATTTTCCAGCCATACCCAGAGGCCTCTGAGCAACGGCGGTTCGTTTCGCAAAAGGCGCCAGCATCGCAGAGGGAAGAATCGAACCGGGGATTCCTGAGCGCCAGCCAGCTCGGCTGCCCCAGCCCGGCTCCTCCACCGGCCCCGCTCCTGGATGCCACTGGGCCTGGGGACTCACCGAACGAATCGTCCTCGGCTGCCCGCCTCAGCAGGAACTGGTGCAGCTTCTCCAGGTACTGGGACTCTGTGGAAAGGTTAGGGTTCAGCGCCTGAGCCCCAGACACATGCGGGCTTCGCCCAGTGATCACAATCCTAGATTCTAGGATCACGGTGGGCACGGGGGGCTTCCGCGTCCGCCTCAAACGCTCCCCCATCCCAGCAGCCTGGACCCAAGCGGATTCTGGGGGGCACTGGCCCCTCACGGGCCGGCCGTATCCCATCAGACTCTCAGAGCCCACTTCCCCGCAAAATCTGCTCCCCCCAGCCTGCCAAATTGCTGCTTGGGTGGGCCAGGTGGGGCTGATCTTGCCGGGACAGGGGGATTCCCAGGCAGAGTAGGGTGTTCGCCAGCCCCCGAAGGGCCAGCAGTTCTGCTGCCACGGGAGGCGCATGGGAAGAGGCGTCCTCCAGCGAAGGCCCCCCGGCAACCCGGCCTTGACCGAGAGCAAGCCTTCTCCAAATGCTGGAAGCACCTTCCAGACGCTCCTAAGGATACTGCCTCACAAGCGAGGGGCTCCAGCCAGGCGGCCTACCTGGTTGCGGGCGCTCCAGGTCCCCCAGGAAGTCGGCAGCTCTGCCCAAGGCCTTCAGCAAAGGGGACAGGAGGCAGCAAAGGAACGCAAAGAGTTTGCCATAATTTTCCAGCTGGCTGATCTAGGGCAGGAGGGGAGAATGGGCCGGGGTCACAAGGAGAAAACGCCTGCGGTCCACCCGGGAGCAGCTCAGGAGAGAAACAAGGGAGAGAGAGAGCGAGCAGAGCTCTTGCAAAGGCTGCGGTCGTGGCAGGCAACCGACAGCCAAGTCAGGTGCTACCGTTTTGCGGCCATTTAATTATCCTGTTATTTTCTATGGAAAGCCAGTGTGGGACAAGGGTCGAGCGTTGGGCTGGGGACCTGGGAGAGGCCTGTTCGGCCCCCGCTCAGCCACGAAGGGGGGCTGCCACCCAGGACTGCTGTGGAGCAATGCGGAGAGGAGGCACACTCGCAACGGGACACGCACGAGCTATCTGCACAATCCCGGCCTTAGGAAGGCAACTGCCCTGGTTTTGCAGGAGGTGCTGTGGCTGCCTCTCCAAGAGGCTCCAGCCCTGGAGCCCCCAGGAGATGGCAGTGTCCACCCAAAATGTGCTGTGGGGGAGACAAAGGGGCTGGCAAGGCGGCAAAAAACAGCGGGGGCGGGGAGCAGCGGAGGGGTGGCCTCCCCCCCCCCCCCCGCAGCCACTTAATTGCAGGGAACTGTGCTGAGCAGCAGCCCACACAGCTGACATTTTGAGAGGCAGGTTGTGAACTCAGGATGTGTCATGTGGGTGCCTGGAAAAACAAAAGGAGGAGGCATTTATATGGTAATTTGATGTTCCCTTTTGCAAGGGGGATGAGGAAGGAGGGCAGGCGCCACGCCGAAACTTCCTTCCCACGTGAAGACAGACTTGGGGGGAGATGGGGGTGCTGCAGGGGAGCAAAGAGCTCACGTTCCCCGCCCTGCCAGGCCCTAGGGGTGCTGTGCACCAGCAGCCATGCTGGCTGGGGGGGGAGGGGGCTCCCTCTCCTCCTCCCCCCGGGTGCACACCAGCCGTCCCTCTGCAGCCTTGGAAAAAGCAGGCCAATTTCTCGGCACCGTTTCGGGAGACAGCTGCCTCTGGGCTCCCCTTTGCAGCCTCCTTCACTTTAGAGCTTCTGGACGCCTCCTTCCGGGTGTCAAACACCGAGGAGGAGCACAGGGCTCCCGAGATTTTAAGAGCGGCGCAGCAGAGGGGAAAGGCCGCTTCCGCAGGCTGGTGGGAAGAGGGCGCGAGGGGCCCTGCTCCCCTTCTGGCTGGTTTCTCCCTTGGTCTCCATTTTGTAAAGTGACCGTGGTAACAAAACCAGCAAGAGTAATGGCACCGGCTGCTCGAGTATGATTGACCACATAGCTGGGGGATGCGCAGGCCATGCCGCAGCACCGTTGGCTGGGAGTGCAGAAATAGCCCCCTTGGCCTTGGACAACCGGAGCCGGTGCACACATCCCGGTCGGGGTTCCAACATCTCAGCTCGCTCAAAAGCAAAACTTTAAAACAATTGCTTCTTTAGTCCCTTCCTGCAAAGCAGCAGCACCCCCTCCAAGCAAGACTGGAAACAAATTCCGGCAAACTGAGGGAATAAGCACCTTCCTTCAGTCCAGCAGTGTCAGAAAGTGAGCGCCTGCTGGTTTCTGGGCAGGGGCAAGGAGTCCTTTTGTGGTGGAGTAGCCTTGGGCAACCTTTCTCCCCGCTGGCCCTCGGGACGGTTCTCCCTTCCCCAAGCGCCTCCCAACAGCCCTCGGGATCCGGCGCTTCTCACGAAGTCAGGTCCCAATACTCTCTGCTTCCATTTTCACTTTGCCCCCTAAAAGTCACTAATGTCTAGTCCATGGGTCCCCAAAATATGGCCCGCGGGACGGATCTGGCGCAGGCGGGGAGATGGCAGCTCACTCACTCGGAGATGGTTTTGGCCTCGCTGGGAGATCTCCGAGCGAGCGAGTGAGCGAGCGAGCCACCGCTGCGCACACCCAGCGGCACCGCAACGGCCACTGCAGCCTTTCAACTGGCCCCCGTTGAAAAAGCGTGAGGGCCGCTGGTCTAGTCCTTGCAGGTGCAAAGATGGTCATGGGAGCAGACAGGCAAGCGCACCAAGGCTTCCAGGGTCAGTGATTCAAGACCCCACCCCTGCCGTGAGCTGTGTGAGCGTCTGCATCATGCCGAATTATGCCCTGCTTCCATTTTTATGAGCAAGATGAGCAGGAGGATTTTGAAGCACGTGCTGTGCCTGGTTTTGGATGCCCCCAAGGGAGGGCAGGCGGCCTTTGGCTCAGTGAGGGGAAGAGCAGCGTGTCCCCGTGGGATGAGCCCTCCCCAAAAGTGACGTGTTCGGAAGGGCCTCCCCTACTTTGAAGCAGCGCCTTTCAGCCTCGTCGCCACAGTCACTGTCACTGTCGCCGAAGTCGTCCGATGCCTTCCAGAGCAGCTTCTCCGTGAAGCGCTTCTGGGCCGCGTCGCATGCCGAGCGGTCGCTGGGCACCTGCGTGTGGGAGGGAAGACGAGACGCTGGGCGCGCGACTGGCAAGCGGCCGGAGCCTCTTCCACGGCCACGAGGCTGCAAAGCTCACTCCAAGTGTGCACAGGCAGCTTCACCCTCATAGGCCCCTGAGGTTTGCACTTCAGCTCCCATGAGCCCCAGCCAGCATTGGCAAGGGTTAGCGATGGCAGGAACTGTAGTTCAGACTACCTGGAATGCACCAGGCAGCGGAAGGCCACTGAGAGAGCTGCCAGGGGCCCAAAGCAAGCACCCCCATAAGGGGCAGCCCACCGTCTCTCTGTGTGACTTCCGGCATGTGAGTGGCCGCTGTCCGGAGAATCTGCGGCATCTCTCTCCTTGCAGGCCGTGATCCTTCAGCCCTTCCACTGCGTGTCTACCAAGGTCCCAGAGGAGCTGCTTCTCGCAACTCTGCCTGAGTCACTGCTATTAACAGAGGAGGCAGGCACAGAGCAGAAACCCTGGGCAGACTCCCTTGCGAGCATGGAACGCTGTTCACACATATTCTAAAAATAAACGTTTTTGGCTACAAGCGTGAAACGTGCCTCCCGTTTCAATTCCGCCGTGTGAGGACTGTGCTTCAACTCTCCGCAGCCTGGGAAATCCAGGCCCAGCACAAATCCAGCCGCCTCCACACAGTCTGTTCGTGCCGCCAGGCTGCGCTGACGCCGCGCTCTACGCTGGCTTCCTCTCTCGCCCTCGCTTACCTCTTCTGCCACCAGCACCCCACACTGGATCAGCTTGTCCACCACAACCTGGCAGTAGGAATACACCGACTGACACGGCTGGAAAGAAGCAGAGGCAAAATGGAAAGGGCTGCACCTTCCAGGCCAGCACAGGGCTGCGGGGAAGCGCATGCGCACCTGGCGGCTGAATCGGCCCCTCTCACCTTCTCCTTCCCCACCACCTCCCCCATTTTCTGCGCTGCCTCCAGCAGCTGGCCCGGTCCTGGTCGCTTCTTCGCAAAGGTGCCACCATGACAGGGTGGGAGGGCTCTACACCCACGGAGGTGGAAGTGGCAGAACCTCAGCGCCTGGGAGGGGGGCTAATCCCTAGAGAAGCTGCACCAGCCTCTCCCAGGTCTCTTCAGCACCACCGTTTGGGCTTCCAGAAAAAGGCTGCTGGGGATGCCACGCTTTGTACACTGAAGGTTTCCCTGGGGCGGCGTGGCATTGGAGGGGTGCTGCTGCTCAAGTTAAGGTGCATGGGACGCAGCCTATTCCCCCCTCACCCCCCCCTGGTCAAGCTGCCCCCTAACACTGGCTCCGTGCTGGACTCCCCACAAGGCCACAGTTTGCCTCAGTGGCTCACGCTGCCAACTTGTGTTCCGTGGCTTGGCAAGTGCCCTCTACCAACCCAGAGTTGCGCTTGAAAGGCTCTCAGTCCCAGCTTCCCGTACTGTTATTCAAGGTGTCGAACGACGGCATTAAAATGATTGAGCACACTCAAAGGATAATTAGGAGCAGATAAAAGCAGCCGCAACAGCAGGTGAGGTGAGTTCAAAGGCAAGGAACGTGCATCACAGGTGCAAACAAGGTGCTCTGAAGGCGAGTTACCTGCCCAAACGGCAGCCTCCTGTTTTTCCAACATCCCATCATCTGGGAGGATGCATGGGGGGGTCTCTTGGCAGAATCTGGAAATGGCTACAGAAAAGGCCCTCTCCTGCTTCCCGAACAAACTGCGCTCAGAGGATGCAAGTGGGGAAGACCGTCTGTGGATCAGATCTTCATGGATCAGCTGGTCGGGGGAGGGGGGGCTCCGTTATGCCTCCTGATCCCAAGCGGCTCCGGGCGTGCTTGTTTGGGCCTGAGAGGCGGGCGGCTGACCCGGCTTTTCCAGCCTGGGAATATCACGCTTTCAAAATCACTGTCCGGGGGAGAAAGATGAGCCAAAGGGGCTTCTTTACCTGGCACAGGAGGAAATCTTTGGGCAGCAGCTGAACCAGCAGAAGGATCTTGCTGTGAAGTTCCTGCTGGACCACGACGACATCTCTAAGCTGCTCGGGGCTTCCCAGGAAGGGCAGCAGCTCCACCAGGAGGGCATTAACCGCACAGGCTGCCAAAACACCGGGAAAGCTTTTCAGCGTGTGTTCTGCTCTTGCCCTGGCCTGTTTTTCCACAGCGTTTGCATCTGGGCGCTCTCCTTGCAGGGAATGGCTGAGTGTGTGGCTTGTGCGAAATCAAAACCCTCTTCTGCAAAGCACCTGTTTGCTCCTTCTACAGATCTCCAAGAAAAGCATTCTGAATACAGTTCTGGGCAAAATATTAATAATTTTCGTACCATCCAGTAACTGAAGCTTTCTGGGCAATGAGCACCAGCCACTCAAGACAATGTAGAATTAGAACAACACTTGCACACAAAGTGTCCTTAAAAATACATTTTAGCAGCAAACAAGTAAGACTAGTCCATACTGCTGGGCCTGCTCAAAAAGGCACCTGGGAAGGCCCCCAACCTCCTGCTCCCTGTGCCATTCGGAGCTGCTTAATGCCCAGGAAAACACAACCGTGTTCACCCATACATTGGCCTTGAGAGAAGCCAGCACCCATGGCTTCCCACCATAAATTAGGGGCGAAGCTGAGGGGTGGGGACTTGCTCAGGTGTGAACCAAATTCTTCGGTATGCAGATTTTTCTCTTAACCTTCCTGCTTCAGGACTGTGCCAGGACTGGGGCCTCTCTTTCATCCCTCAGGAAGGGCTGACATGGAGTTCACACTCATATTCCAACACTGCCCTGTGGATTGTTGCTGAAACATGGGTTCTGAGGTCATTTGAATCCAGCAAAGTAACAAACTTGAGGAACAACCCACAGTTAATTACACAGCAACAAACCTTAGATTCCCTTGATGTTAACAAGCCACAGTTTACATTGTGCTTAACAAGTCATGGTTTGTTAGAGCAGCTGCTTTCAGACAACACAGTACCTTAGTTTCAACAATCCATGGCTTATCGAAAACCCACACTCAGCTCTTGACTGTGGGCCACCATCTGGCCTGAATTCAGCCTCTGGGTGTTTTGATGCCATTTCTGCTCCTCTAAACATGCAAGCTCCTATTGCGGAGAATGGCCTGGCCCTCCGAGAGCCCAGGACCCTCTAAACTCACCCCCCACCGCTTCTGGGAGGAAAACTGGCAGGAGGGCAGCGCTGTGCCGGCTCAGCTCCGTCACGGCAGCCTCGGTCCTCTTGGGGGCCACCAGGACGTCCCCCAGCGAAAGGCGGTGCAGGCGCAGGCAGGGCTGCAAGAGGAGAAGCGTGTGCTGCACCACATCCCACACGCGCCCGGAGAAGCCCACATCGAAGCTGCGCAGCAGAACCTCCTCCGTGAGCCAGGCGAAGTCCTGCATCAGGCGGGAAAGGAAGACTCCCTGGGTGGAGAGAAAGGGGGAAATAATGGCAGACCGTGACTCATACGTATGGCAGAAAGTCTCCGAGAACCGAGTGCTGGGGCTGGCCTGAGAAAGTGTGGGTCCATATTTTGGGGCGAGATGCCACGCCTCTGCAACCTAAGTGCACACATCAGAAAGGAGACCCAGCGATGGAGTCACCAACTCCATCCGACTTCCCGGACGGGTCTGGACACCAGGAGCTGCGAGCAGAGCAGGTACCCACAGCCTGAAGTGCCCGGGGGAAGGGGGCCGGCCACAGGATGCTTGCAGGATGCCACTTCTCCAGGTAGACGCGGGACCAGGACCAAGCCCTGGCTCCCTCCCCACCTTCTCCTTCTTACCTCCTGATGTTTATGCAGCAGAAGGGCAGACATGATGGGCACAGCCGTGATGGCAGAGCAGGAGACGCCAGCTAGGAAGGGGGACACAGAGGCAGAGAGAGGGAGCAATGAAACCTGGGGTGAACGGGTCCTGTTTGCAACCCCACGGTCTCCTGGCTCTTCCTGGCTTCCAGGCACATGGGCTGGATGGTGCCTTGAGGGCCAGGATGCCGAAAATGACAGCCAAAGAAAAAAGACATTCATACCCAATGGCCAGCAAATAGCCCTGAATCTGGACTGCAACAGTATAAAAAAGGAAGAGCCCCGTTTTCTGCAAAAGGCAGTTTTCTGCCTGTAAAAAATTATATGACGGAAATGAAAACTGGGCGGCGGGGAGACTGTGTATGGATTAACTGACAGTGAATATCAGAGATTCTTTCCATGGCATAAATATGAAAATTAACCACATTTGCATAAACCAATTTGCAAAAGGTAATCGGCATATTTTAACTGTTTTTCATCATTCCTCTTATTTAGCCGTGATCCTCAGAAAACTGAAACTAGCAGCCCAGGCCTCTGCCTGAGTCACCTACATGCTCAGAGAAACATCACGCATAAAGCAGGTAAAATACCCTTGGATCTTAGCTGAATTAAGTAATTAATGTTTTGCAGGCAAGAACAAGGAGGCGGGGGAATTTACATTCTGCAACTGAAGTTTTAATCAACTGTGACCCTTCAGAGCAGTTTCCCTTAATTGCTTAGGGTAATAAAGGCCGCATGCCGCAATCCTATTCCAATTTTCAGGAAGCAGGTCCTGCTGACCTCTGAGAGACAGGCGTCTGCGTACAGCGGTGTAAGCCAACAGCCGAGACTAACCGGCTGGGCCAGGGAAAGCGGGTGGATGTCCCTTAGCCCTGCAACAAGGAAACTGCCCCGTGCTGTTGCCAGACAAGAGGCTCCTGGTGCCACCACTTGCAAGACACTGCGCAGATATCCATCTTTTGGGAACAGAGAAAACGTTCCTGCTTCTTTCTCAAAGTACAATCCAAAGTGACACCACCAGAACCAAAGGAAACCCTCTAGGCTGCAGCTGGGAAGCTCCAGGGAAAATCCCAAGTGCAGATTTTCCTCAACTGGGACCTTTCCCAGCACAGCCACCTGCAGGGCTTGGCTGGGACACTGCGAACTGAGTCCCGGGAACGGTGCTAGGGACCCAAAAGACCCGGGGAGAAGCACATGTGGGTCAAAGGGGGAGCCAGTGCAAGAAAGGCCCAGGGCACCTACACTTCCAGGGACAGTGTGGGGGGCAGGCCCACCACCGCCCAGAAACCTGGGCTCCAGCCTGGCTGGACCTGGGACCAGCTGGATTGTATGACAAAGTGAAAATGAAGCCGCGCACCGGGCACAGATGAAAACCGAGCGCTGCAGGGGCCCCGGCTGGCCGAGGGGACTTGAAAGGGCTCCCTCCTCTTCTGGAAAGCGCATGGCTCAGAAGCTGGGCCTTTCACTGCCCGCTAATTGTCCACGCGGCGTGTCGCCTGGGCTTCCTCCACCCTTGTGTCCAAATGGCGGCCTGTGGGGAGCATCTGGGGGGGGGGGGGGGGGCTTCAAAGGATCTGGGCAAACGTCAAAGGGAGATCAGTGACGGAGGCTTCGGGTGGCTCCTCGCATTTAGCAAAGAGCAGAGCAGACGATGAGGCGAACGCTCCCTGTGGAAAGGGGAAATGCAAAGGGAGAGAGCCGAGGCAGGTGCGCCCACCATTGGCCTTGAAAAAACACAGGAGGTGCCTCAGGAAAGCAGGCGCTTCCCAGGCACAAGTCTCTTCTTTCTGGATTACGGGGGGTGGGGGTGGGTGGGAGAAATGCTTGTGAACATTTCCAGAAAGTCACGCAGCCAGTGCATTAACGTAGACAGAGCGGTTCAGGCATTATCCTAAAATAACCGATAATTGGAAACTTACATCTACACTTGGAGAGAACAGCAATAAACCAAAAAACACACCTTGACACGTGAGCCTCGTCGTTTATGTAACCGGGAGGCTGTGGCTGCAGCCTGAGCAGCCCAGCATGATTCAGCCCTCGGCAGAACCTCCCTGCTCAAGTTGCAGACAGAAGGAAACAATCCACGAGGCGGGAAGTGGCATGCGTCGGTTTGCCACGGCAAACGTCCCTCCCGGTTCCAGGGAATGTGGGAAGCCCCTCGCCCTCCTTGGGAGGCAGCCGGGGAGCATCGTGTTGCCCTGCTGTGTCGCTCGCTGCTCCGCCAGGTGAGCCTCGCCCTGCACCTGAGCAACCGACCACGATCCTGCACCGCGCTTGGGTGCACACAAAACAGCTCCGCAGCTCCATGTAGCCCAGAGACAGAGTGGCAACGCAGGGCCCGGCCGCCTCCGAGACCAGCCCAAATCCATAAGCACGTTACTTATTTTGGAGGGAGGCTGTCCTGAGTACCGCAGGCCTCTGACTTCTTTCCGCCTCGCCAAACACCCAGAACGTGGGCACCCCGTCTAAGAGGGGCCTCCTGCGGCTGCTTTTTGCTTAGCACCTGAGCACTCTGCGCAGCCGCTGCTGGTTCTCAGCCATCCCGATGTGGGAGCAAATGGCCCACGGGTGCGTGTCTGTCTGCGGCAAAGTCTGTGGCCCCGACAAAGCAGCGCGTCCTTCCCGGCGCCTCGGAGAGGCAGACAGGGACGCAGATGGCTTGTCAGGCAAAGAAGTGGCACATCCAGCCAGTCACGTGTGCCGAGAACGCCACGCACAAGCAGTCACAAAAACATGTCGAAACGGCTGCAGTCCCTGCCAGCTGCCGTCCACTCCCTCATTCCTGGTTTTCAGCCTGGGAAGGGCAATGATCAAATGGGATGGCTGGCGGTTTTCAAGCCATCAGCTCGGCCCTTACCTGGAAAGTGCACTTATTTATCCAAAAGTCAGCCAAAAGACCTGGAAGGCAAACTTCCATTGGTAAAAGCACTTTTTTCTAAGTGAACACTGGAGATCTGTTTCTCCCTCGGACCCAGACACAGGTGTTGCTTTTGTATTTTATATATTGTTTTCATGTCCTGTTTTCCAATGAGCTGAGGGCAGAGACCATGGCTGGACGCTCCTCTTTTATCCTCACAACAACCCTGCTAGGCAGATCAAACCGTCCAAGAGAGGGTGCTGGCCCAGGGCACTCAAGGGGCTTCACTGGGAAGAGAATTTGCATCTGGCCTCCCCAGTCCTAGCCCAGCTCTTGAACCCATCTCGCACCAGCCTCCCCCAGCCTGCAGACATCTGCTGGACAAGAGGCCCTTCTGCTCTTTCATAGCCGCATTTCTCACTGGGCCTCAGGCCGTCTCCTCTCCAAAAAGCTGAAGAGGCCGGGCGAAGGGAGAACGGAGTTCCTTACCGCTCAGAGAATGGAGGCTCAAGCTGTCCACCAGGCCTGGTTCCACGTCTGGCACGGCAGCACTTTGGAGGCCCAAGAACCACCGCTGCTCCAGCGCGTCACAATCCAGTGTGCTGGCAAACAAGTCAGAGAGATGAGGATGGAAGGGAGACACATTTTAAACCAACACTGCAAGGATAAAGGCAAAGTATTCCACTGGTGTTATTGATTTTACATTGGTTGCATTTTATTCTGCCCTTCTTCCAGCAAGTTTGGAGGCATATGTAGAACTCAGAAAGGTACACAAGCATCAGGCAGATTCACAAGCCACAAGCACTTTCCCATGCAAGATAGTCTGTTGCGTTATCTGAACCCGCTCATGGTCTTTCACCGTGGTGCGTTTGGCTTGTAGAAACCAAGATAAGAAAGGCTGGTTTGCTCTATGGTGCCTACACCTCACCATGGTTTCTCCTCTCATCCAATCTCAGCATCGTGGTTTCCACTGTCCTGGTAAGTGGCTACCACCAAGTGCCTGGGAAAGAGTGGCAGCTGCCCCAGCCGTCCAGCATGCAGTTAAATTTCAGAAATGGTGGATGATGGGATATGTGCCAGTACCAGGAGGACAAAAAACGCACTAGTGTAGAAAGCACTTGATTGTCTGTCAGGCACATCCAGGCAAAAAACCATGCTGGGGTATTTGCTGTGATGTGTGAACCCCGCATCACAACTCCCACCCCGATGAGGTTAGACCAAGCTACAAGATGGATTTTACCCTCTGGGTAGTCAGCTTTGCTAACCCATGGGAGAACCTTCCTTGCATTCTTAATTTTGCCTCTTAACTCCTGCAGAGCCAGGAGAAAGAGGACATCCTCCTGAAATTCAATAAGTAAGCTTGCCATCCAGATATTGGGCAGTATAGAAATTAAATCATTCCATCAGTCAATAAAATCCATACCAGCCTTCCCCAACTCTGGTCACCTTCAGAGGTGCTGAACTACAAATCCCAGAATCCCCCAGTCAACATCAAGGACACCTGCTCTACACAGAAGCATTCTGAGAATGCCTGAGAACAGTGGGCCACTGCCCTGTTTTATTGTGGACAAATGATGATATACGACTGGACAACTGACATGTCAAACCCAGTTATAACTGGTATTAAACACGCGCGACTTTGGCTGGCCGCAGTCTGAGATGAAGTCAGGAGTTTTTAATTGTGCTTGTTAAAAGGGTTCCAGGAGGCTGAAGCCGGGGTTCCGGACAGGCCGACAAAGGCTGTCATCAAAAGTTACTTCAGCTGGGCATCCTGGCATTCAAGAGATTTCCTTGTAGTTCTTCTCGCACAAGTTGCTTTTTTGAAGAAAGCCAACACTTTCCTGAGGTCACACATGGATTACAGGCATATTTGCAAAGAGACAATAGAGAACTCTGGGCAGTTCAGGATAGTCCTACGACAGTCCGACAATAATATGGGAGGACTCTCATCAGCAAAAAGCATGGTTTAGGCGCCTTGCTCAAGAACAAGCTTATTCTTTGCAAAATTTGTGTCCTTCGACTTTATTGTTTGTTGCTTGCAAGCTCTGGTAATGTAATTTCAACATATAACCTGGGAGATGACTCAGAGTATTAGCTTATGAGTATGATTTGACTGTGTCTCTTCCACAGGGAGAGAACCTCATGGCTGCAAAAAGGACACAGGTTCCCCACTTTCTTTCTCCTCTGCTCCACCATGATTCACACTATGCAAAAGATGATTGGGATTAAACGTCAGTATCTGGAGCAACCCATTCTCCCAAAGGAAAGCTCATTCAAGCAGCGGTAGGACTATCTGGCAAAGAAGATTTCCAGCACAGCAGGGGGCTCCAAAGGGAACAACCCGACCCCGATGGCTTTTTGTGTTTCCCAGGCAGTTTGCTTGGCTTTCTTTGGAACTGCTTATTCCCTTATATTACAGCTCCCCTTTCCAATCCAAGCAGGAAGGGCCTTGCTCTTGCCATTTCTTTGCCCTTGGGGGGGTACTTTATTCTCCTGCCCATGGAATTTTGCTGCGACTAGTGATGTGTTCGGAACCCAGTTTGGAGGCAAGGATCCGTCGAGTGTCTCGGCCCACCTAGCGCTGAGCATCTGCGTGACCTTCCAGCAGGAAGCAAGTCCGGGGTACCTGTCAGCCAGAAGCGGGCCAGCTGCATGCCAGCAGTGCAGGAAAAGTTCTGCGTACGCACATGTGACTTGTGAGCCATGCATAATTTGAGCAAGAATAACTTGGGACAAAGGGTGGGCCTGCCACCATTTGCAGGCTTGGTCCCAGCTTGCTTCCTGCCCAAGGCTGAGTGTAGGAAGGCAGGCATGTGAGTGGAAGAGAACCCAACTCCGGCCAGATCACTGCCTTTCTGTGTATGAGCTGGATCCTTCCAGGTGATCAGACCTGCAAGTCGGCTTCAGGGACCAGCAGGGGCCTCATGGGGCACGTGCAAAACTGTGGGTGGGGATTTTGGCACACCTGGATTAAAATCGGGAGGCATGAAAAACATTTCTGTGGGGACATCACCACCCAAGACAGCATTACCGTTTGCCGAGCACTTCTGGCAAGAGGACTTCCTCCAGGCGTTTTCTCGAGCAGCTTGGTCTGCAGAAGTTGCTTTCGCTGTACTCCTAGGGGGGAAGAACCAAGTTGGTTGAAGGGCACTTGTGCTCAGCAGCAGGGAGAAGGTGCTCTGCGGCCCCTTCTGTGTCTCAGCAACCGTTTGCCACCAAAGGTCATGGCAAGCCATGCACATGGCGGGCATGTCGTGAGCGGAGCCGGCTGGTGCCGGAGGTCAGACTTGATGGCCCGGGAGACCCCTTCTGACTCGCTCTGTTTCTGTGTTTCTATACCTCCCACCCCACTTTTTTGCCTTCTCTGGGCAAGGGACTGGCCCCCGGACCACCAAAGTTAGCACTGCTCCTCTGGAGAGATTGGGGGGTCAGCCACTGTCTAACAAGCCTCTTTTCTATTCCCACAATCCCGGGGCTGAATGTCGCCAGCCCACCAGGAATACCTGCAAGGAGAAGGGCTGAGCGAAATCCACACGGACACAGCCAAATCCTCGGCAAGCTGCTCTGAAGAGGGACAGCCAGGCCCAACCGCTCTGCGTGGTCTAGCAAAACACAACCAATGTTCAACAGGTCAAAAGCTGCCCAGAATATGGCGCCTTTCCTTGTCCACCCATGAAGCACAGGACGGCAATCCTCAGGTGGTGGCAAGGAGCAGACTTAAATGTTTCTTTTGTTAAAAACAGGAAAGAAAACCTGGCAGGTGCCAGCGCACGGAGTACCCATGCTAACGCCCACTCCAGGGCCCATCACTCTTGTGGTCCAGTGAAGAGACGGAAGGACAGGACAGCATGGGAGGAACCGGTTCTCCCCTTGGTTCCCCCGGAGCTGTGCGCTGAGCGGGGGCCCGGCTATGGGTCGGATGCTCAGCCCATGGGAAGATGGGTGGGAGGACCACTGCGAGCTGTGCGCAGCTGCCATGCGCAGCTGGGAGGCCTTGGATCTCCCGCATGCAGCACGCCCCCAACACGCAGCGACACAAGACCAGCCCCGTGCTTGACTCATGTAGGGCTAGCGCGCTGGGGCAGGCAATACTGGGCAGGGAACTTAGGAGATGTGGGTTTGAGTCCCCGCTCAGCCACTAAGCTCCCTGGGTGATTTTTGGCCAATCAAAGACTCTTGGCCTAACCTACCTCACAGGGTTGTTGTTGCAAGGATAAAAATGCCAGCCCACCTTGGGTTTCCTTTTGAGGGAGAACAAAGGCCGGGCAGCACCAACACGAATACTGAGCACAATTTCACTGATCTTTCAGTAGGGTTTATACTCTAATCTGTAATCCAGACAACAATTACAACATAATTTGGTATTAGGTACTGTGAGACCTCCCCTTTCTTTTCCATCTTGTAGGACTTTAAATCTAGTCCTTGCTCTTTTCCCATTCCAAATAAAAGTATCCAATTGCCTTGGTCATTCCTGAAGTTTTTCCTTTTATGAAAATTTGAAAGTTTGAAAATATGGAAGTTTTTCCCTGTATGAAAATTGGTACCTTCCAAACCAAAGACGTTAATTAGGGTAAAACAGTCATTTTTATAATAGAAATTCTTTCCAGCTAAGACACTTTTAATTTAGACAATCTCTGTAAAGCTTTTTGAATCTTCGTCCACATTATTTTGTAATTGTCTTGAAATACTGTATCATTATGTCCAGTCCTGTTCATTCCCAAGTACTTAACAAGGTTAGAAGGTATTTCACATCCTGACATTTTAAAAAGATCTTCCTCTTCTTGTTCCATTGCAAATTTTGATATAATTTTAGTAGTAATTCCACTTTCACCTCAGATTCATACATACTAAGGCACAGTGGAGCCCCTATTCAAGCAAAATGGCACACACCACGCAGAACGGAATCAGCAGGTGACAGTTGCTGAAATAAGAGCTTTAGGGGAACGGCCGAGAGGACCCCGCGGGGCTGAGCATGCCCAGAAGCTGGCTGCTGGAATGCGAAGGCAGGGTGACGAAAGAGGGCCGGGAGACAGGAAACCAGAGTGGGGAGCGGAGCGGGCAGGGTCGGCACGCTTCTGCAGCAGGAGCGCCTCACGCCGCCACGTTCTGCCGCAGGCCCAACGGTCACCCGCAAGATGCCCCCGTCCTACGCCGCAGCTGCTCTCACCACTTGCCCCCTGTAAATCAAGTCGGGGACTCTGTCGTAGGAGACTCCGAGGGGAACGACGGTGAGATCAGGAACGGCCCCTGCCTGGAAAGCGCCAACCACCAGGCTCAGCCACTCCCTGCCCGACGCGGAGAGCTGCCGCACGCCGGAGGAGGCCTCCTCCAAGAAGATCAGCAACGGCGCCTTGTTCCGAAGCAGCTCCTGGACATACTGTGGGGCAGAGAAGAGAGCCGGGTCACGCGGGCAGGGCCTCACTGGAGCCGAGTGGGGACCCCTCTCCCTGCGCAGAGGCCTGGTCCGGGGGGCCCGAGCGAAGGCAGGCAGCCGCCGCGTCTCCTCCAGGCCAACCCCACTTCAGCCGCCCCTCGTGGGCATCGAGAGGCTGATCAGACCGTCCGTGTCTTTACCATGCTCACAGGTACCAGGCAAAAACTGGGATCAAGAAACCCAAAGGGCCACAAAATGGCATCCGGGGGAACTCTGCCGTTTTCCTGGAAATTTAATTGTGCACCAGTGACCATGTGTATTTCACAACACCACAACCTCCCTTCCTTCTCAATCTTCCTGGGCCGGGGGGGAAAAAATCCCTGTTCCTGATTATGTGTCGTGCATGAAGCCCCGACAGAGGCAGTGACTCACGAGGAGGACTTGCACTTGACACCCAGTGCCCAAGAGTCAACCCCACAACCCAGCATAGGGGCAGATGTGCCAGCAGCTGCACCTCCCTCTGACTCTCAGCCCATAGAACAAACACCTGAACCCTCATCAAAGCCAAGGAGTCCTGAGAGAGAGAAAGCTGCAAGTTCTACTCGGAAGAGGCAGAGCAAACTGCTCCTTCCCCCTCTGACGCTGATCTTCCTGAGCCTGAAACAGAAGACACAGTGGGCGTGGTGGATTTCTCCAGAGCTGAGAATCACCGAATTCTTCGCAGATATGAACAGCAACATTATCTTTTAGGAGGGAAGAAAGGCGTGACTTGGAAGAGTAATCCCACATGGGGTAGTGGGCTCCAGGAGAGAAGCCATTAGAAGGTTAACATCTGCATAACATATCTATAGAGTTGTAAATCTTGCAGATAATTAGCATTAAAGGACTTTAGTTTTATTGCTCGTGAATGTGTGGATTGTTTACATACTGGGCTGCCCCCTTGACATTATGCCCCAAATAAGTAGAATCAAATTTGCTTATCAATGTTCGGCATGCACAAAGCGTCTAAGTGGAAGTCTCCCATGGGCTTGCAGAAAATGAACAGAAGTAGTGCTGGATTCACCATCTAGCCCCCTGCTAATCTCAGATTTCCCTTTTCCTCGTATTTTAAGGCCCTAAGCTTATTAAGAGTCACCTGCAACTAGGTGGGCAGCATCTGCTGAAATATCAGTAGTGAGGGAAGTGGCTGATTTCGATTTCCACTGGGCATCAGCACCCGTCACTGATCCTTCCATTTTTGCAAGACGAGCAAAGCTAGAAAAGATATACGCAGGGGAACACAAGCAATTCTGTAGGTTCCTTTCCAATTGGCATAATTTTCACAGGTTGCGGAGCCCAGCTTTTCTTGGTGCAGAAGTCGGAATGCCTGGACAGAGGATTTTAATTTCAGAGGGCATGGAGACCACAGAGAACCGTAATCCAATTTTAAGACATTGCTGACGAAAACGTCTTGCACAGAAATATGTATCCCCACCATCTAGGTGTTACCATCTAGGCCTATCAAAGGTGGGGAGAACACACTGCAGGTTCCAACAAAAGTTTGGGGAACAACCCGTGGCTCTTCTCTCCTCCTCCGGAGCCAAATAATCAGTCCATCCCCAGGGACAGGAGGTTCAGCAGCAGTTTTGGTTCCTTGAACTTTCCTTTCAAAGAGCAAGGTGAAGAAAACCCAGCTTTTTCATGGGGAAAGTAGGTGAGAAGACAACAAAACAGAAGTCAAAACAATAACAAACAGACTGCCAAGGAGTGACAGAGAGAAATGTTTGCCTCTCTCTCTTTGCGAGAACGCCTGAGTCGCTCAATCAACTGTCTGGCAGTGCAAGGCTTGCAAAGAAGAGGTGGGATTCACTGCAGATGTGGAGACCGCAATGGATGGATGACTCTACGCTAGTCCATTCGGCAAGAGAGTGAAACAGACCCTCCATGTTTGGGTGCAGGACACCTCCAATTCTTAGCTGCTTGGGGGTAGCCAGCAGGCGAGGGCGAGTGCCATCTTGATACCTTCTGAACACAAGTGCTGACCTCGATGGAATTTTGTCTGGCCACATATTTCAACTGACTTTGGAACAAAGCTTCGCAGCCCAGCAAATGGGGAAAACTCTCGATCCATAAAAATCAATGCCTTTCAGAGCCCAAGAAAGAGGGACACACAAACTGGGGGTGTCCACTGATACACAACAGAGACTGGTCCCCGTAATATTTGCGGGGCTCACCGGTTGGCCACCCTCGGGAGAAACCTGGCTGAGCAACGAAGCGGCCAGCGGTGGTGAGCAGCGATGTCTGTGCCTCTCCCAAGGCGTTCGGCAAGGAAGGGAATCCTCAGCACCATCTGCCGACACGCTTGTCATCTTCTGGCTGAAGCCACAAGTTGGCTCCCAATCAATTTGCCAGTCAAAGAAAATATCAGATCATAATTGTATACCTCCCGAAGAAAGCAGGCTCGACAAATGTCACTCATCACTTGGGGCACCAGCGAAATTGGGCGAGATACAGCTGATCTCTCTTTCCCTAGGAAGTTGGAGGCTGGGGCCTTTGAGCATCTCCAAAGAGGTGAGCAGTTGCCATTCTGTCTTCTCCTCTTTATTTATGACAGAGATAAAAAGACAGACGCAGTGGCGGGCAAGGACAGGAGGGCTACAGGTGAAAGAAGATGACCTCTGGGCCGCCTGTGGGATCCCGTGAATCAGGCAGGGTGAGTCTGCACGTCTAAATCTTCATCTTGTCCCCCCCAGCCCACCCCGGTTCGCTCACTCACACAGAGGAGTTCCAGAATGCAGATCTGCCATCTCATTTTGGCTCTAATGAAACATAATATGCAGATATGATATCATTTGTCTAGGCTGTGAGAAACAACAATCAGTCAGTCAGTTGAATACAAAGTAGGCTTCCATCGGGTGGGTGGGAAAAATAAGATGAATAAGACGTCTGATGTTCATGTTTTGGAAGAGAAGCTGTTTAATGATAGCACGTAGAAAAACTAGCAAAAGGAAGATGCTCGGCGTGCTAAGAGATCACGGTTCGGATCTGCTGGAAGAAGGTACAAGAGGAGCCCACGTCTGGCCGCTGGGAAAGCAAAAATCGGCAGGTTGACCTTGGGAGACCTCATTCTGCAAGGCACTCAGCATCTGACCCCATCTGCAATGCTGGGTATTTGTAAATCACTTGGTGGACCCGATCCAACCTGCATGCCTGCACGGACACTTGGGCAAGGTGCAGGCATGGCCTCCCCAGCTGCCGCATTTAAGCCAGGCCTTAACACCCGAAGCACACGGAAAGGAACCTGCAAAATTTTCCCCGTTCAAGTACACGCTCGACACACTCTGGCCCGTTCATGTGTGAAGCCAGCATGTCTGCAGCACAGAACGTGCTGGTGTGCCGGAGAAAGGGAACGCACCAGGCAGCCTTTGCGGGAAGCTCATTTCAACACGATGGCCCTGCGTGGGAAGCTGGCACGGGTCAGCGAGGGCTCCCTGCATCTGGCACAAAGCCAGTCTTCCGACGCTCCCTGGAGACAGGCAGGGAAGTTTGGAGGGAATCCCAGGAAAACAGAGGGGCGGGACGGCACTCCTGGCCTGCCTCTCTCCTTCTGCGGTCCCTGTCCCAGTGCCAGTGCCTCTCAAGCCCTGGGGGTAACTGGCTGCTAAGCGGGAGATAAGCAGAGATAAACGCCGCCTTTCTCTGCCTGTCTCCAGGGAAGCTACCAAAGCCTGCCTTCCAGAAATGTTGGCCTACAACTCCCATCATCCCTCTTTCCTCCCGATTCATTCCAAGGGGCAGCAAAGCAAACTTTCGGCAGCCCTCACATGTCCACACCCCAGAGCAACCCGAGTCTTCCCTCCACTCCATGAATACGAGGTTCGTCTCACCGCAGCCAGGACGGCTCTGGAGAGCGCTCCCTGCTCGTGCCCCGAGGGCAGCGCCCCGTCTTGCGGCAGGCACACCCCTCCCAAGCGAGTCAGCAGGGCCCTGCACGAACAGAAAGGACGGCCGTCAGCTCCTCATAAGCCCAGCAGGAGCTGTGTGTATCCTATCCTGCAAGACCCTTGAACACATCATGGGCAGATGAGTTGGTTGTGGGGACATAGGTCAGCAACCTTCAGATCTCAGATAGTTTTAAAAATCAGGACAACACATTTTTTCTAATTACAGAGCCCCTGGAAGTTTGAAGACGGTGACTAGTGAAAAATTGGAAGCTGAAAGAAAGGGCAGAGATCTCAGAGCTATCAGGGACGGGCGCCTTCGGTTGGTGTTCCACGTGGCACAGCAAAACAGGAAAGAACTGTGCAAAAATTTTAAAATGCACATTTAAGTTATTTGCAGACTGGTTTTGGGGTAGAGAAGTCAGGATCTCTTGGTTAGGTCTGTAAAAATTTTCCAATGGTATTGTTTTATTGGTTATTAGAATCAAGGGAGGGGGGTCACATCCCCCAATTTTTCCACCTGGAAAACCAAGTTCTGCAAGTTTATTGTGGGCAGAACCCATTATGGAAATTCTACAAATTATTACAATATTGTTATTTCAGCTAATAAATCTCACAAAATTTGATTTATTAGACACAAGCACTGCTCAGCATCAGCAGAAGCGGTAAAAGCTGTTCAAGACAGAGCCACCCACACGGATTGCAGAAGAGCAAGTGAAAAAAGAGAAGGAGAAGCTTCCATGAGGTTTCAAACTGCTGACAAATCGGAGAAGTGGGGAAAATATCAAAAGTGGGAAGAGCGTTGCTCAAATGTCAGCACCAGAATCTTTAACCAGCGTGATCTTATTTATCCTGACAGATACAAAGCTCCTCAGCTTAACATTTCTTTGCGCTCTGTCTCTGATGACCCTTGCAAGACTCCGAGGTCGGTCCCTGCACGACCCGAGCAACAACCTTGCAAAGCAAGACTATATTCGCCTCTTTTCTCCAAGGGAGAGCTACATCCCGAGTAAGAGAAAAGGGCTGAGCAAATGCCACTAGGACTGAACTTCTTGGCTTCCCCATGTGGATTATCAGTGAAGGGTATGGAAGGCCACAGGAAACAGGGGTGTTCTCGCACCTCCACAGCATGCAAATGCAACTGTGAACGTTACCTGAACTTTGGACCGACAGCTCTGTGCTCCCAAGCCACCCGGGGCATGGGCAAGCCCTGAGACGCCAAGAGCAGCTGAAGCAGCGGGCCATCCAGCTGAGATTTATGGGTTGCCAGGAAGACCACCGGAACATCAGGCTGGGGCGGGCAGGGGAGAAAAACACAGCAGAGATTAAGTCCCAGCGGCAGCACAACCCGTAACATGATTCACCGGGAGACAGTGCAAAGGCTGGCATGTCACAGAGGGCCAGACGAGCTCCGGCTGCTGGTGGAAGCCCGATTCTGGCTCCGCTAACCCTCACCCGAGAAAAGAGTTCACAGAAGTCGGGCTCTCCCTTTTCCTGGCATCAAGGGGAGCACACCAAGTATTGCAAAAGCAGCAGCAGCAGCAGCAGCGAGCAGAGTTCCAAAGGGCTACGCTCTCAGGAAACCGCTCACAGCTCTGTGCAGGTCCGTCTTCTGCAGGCGGCATCTGAGGCCGAGAGACAGTGGCCTGGGGAGCCGGGCAGGGGGCTGGGAGCTGGCACATCCCCCGTTCAGATGTGGCATCAGCAAAGCCCTTGGGGAAAAGTGGGCACAGTGCCCAGGTGCTGGCAGGAAGGGCCCCAGGTTGAACCCAAGGCAAACCCAAGTGGAGCTACAGGGCAGGTGTGGGGGCAGTGGACTGGGGGGTGCATCTTCAGAGCAAGCAGCATCATGGACTGGGACTGGGCCCAGGCATACGTGTGTTCTTCCCGGACTCTGGCACCGTCCGCATCCTCCACTCCCGCTGCAAGTTCAGAGCAAGAGACCCTCCCTGGGGAGGGCTGCTCCACTGGGAAGCCGGCATCCTCACCGCTCGTGTGGCCCTGCGCACCATCTCCAGCTGCCCCCTGTGGGCCACCACGCGGAGGAACGCCCAGCTGAGGAGTTTCAGCAGAGCCCAGAGGCCGAGCCTGACGGGACAAAAGACAAAGAGGGGCCGGGGGAGGAGCCCTTGAGCAACACGGAGGGGCGGCTTCCAGGAGCAACTTCTGCATGAGCCCAGCATGGCCAAGGATCATCTCGGAAGGCTGAGGGGGGACATGAGATCCTCTAGAAGGGCCCCAAAGGCTGTCACAAAGAGGAGGGTCAAGGTCTCTTCTCGCTGGTGCCCGAGTGTAGGACACGGAAGAATCAGTTCAAGTTGCAACAACCCAAATTCAGGCTGGGCATCAGGAAAAGCTGCCTCACTGCCAGAGCAATACGGCAGTGGGACCGGCTGCCCGGAGAGGTGGGGGCTCCCCCACACTGGGGACATTCAGAAAGAAACTGGGCAGCCCTCTGAGTGGGACGGTGTGACTTGGTGTCCTGCAACAGCAGGGGGTTGGAACGGTGGCCTTCTTGGCCCCCTCCACTCTTCTATTCTACGATTCTATGTCCACCCAAGGGTCTGGACAAAAATATTACTTTAATGTCCAGTGGAAGTGGTCTCAGAACACAGGCCTGTTGCATGCCAAGGTACTAATTTCCAGGGCAGAAAGTAGGATTTTATTATTATTCTTGAGCAGAATTGTGTGCCATGAGAACCCAACCTGGAAGACAATCAGATCTCTTCTGGGTTTTTGCTCCCCTTCTGGCCTAGTCCCCTGGTCCAGCTATTCTATGATGACGACAATGACTCTTTCCCTCTTACGAGGAGCCCAGGCCAGCTCCCCTGGTGGCCCTCCCTCTATTTCATCCTCACAACAGCCAGTGCACTTGGCTAAGCAAAGTGCCGGCGACGGCCCCAGAAGCACCCAGTGCTTTTCATGGCTCCGAGGAGAGCCGGGCCCGGGCCCTGCCTCCCCGTCCAACTCACCACCGCGCCACCTGGCTTTACTTAACCATGGGTTCAGTTACAGCATTTGCATCAGGACATTCTGCCAGAAAGATTCACAGAGCAGCTTGCAAAATAAACCCATTTCTGCCTGCAGGTTTAGAATCTGAAATATAAGATCTGAAAGGAGAGGGGACTGGGAAAATACTTATGCCATTCAAAGTGTTTTTAAAACAAGAAGGGAGGTAAATTATCTGGAAACTGTAGAAAGAAATTGGATTTCCCTCCCTCCCTCCAGTAGCTGGTGCTCCACCACCCAGCCCACACAGCTCCTGCTTTCGCAGGCCGCACCAGAGAAAAAGAGCTGCTGAGCCAATCAGCTCAGAGTCCCTGATAGCTGCAGGACTCTGCCTTTGCTTTCCCTAGTAGCTCCTAACGGGTGTTAATTTGAAGCTGATGGAAGGTGCTGGGCTAGTAAGAATCCACACCTCTTCTACAGTTTTCATCTGCAAGTTTCAAAGGACTTTCTGAAGGAAGGTCACTGCTGTTCTCTCTCTCCTACTCCCTCCTGGAGGGGGCTTTTAACCATGGCTGTGCAAAAGGTCATTCATATAAAACCTCAGGCAGTGTGGGTGGAAGAGGTCGCCTTCACCCTGCCCAACCCTTTAAAAAAAATCTTTCCAGGACAGGGATATCAAATTCCAAATAATTTGTAATTTGTAATTAAGTTTAATCAAATTAAGCTAAAATTTCTTTAGAAAACTAATCCCAATGCATGGAGACATTTGCCCACAAAGTCACGAGCCATCTACTTCCATTCCAACTTCCTAAGCTCTTACTTTAGGTCTCCAGTATTGCTCTATCCAAGAAAATAATTCCCAAAATAATCCCCTTCCAAACTCTTGCTCATTCTGTCCACCTTGAAAGACAGCACAAAGATGCTCCACTGCTCCACTAAGAGGTCTATCAGCAATTGCTGACTGATGGGCTGACAAATTATATCCCAGACATCATTCCAAAATCTTCTGAAATACTCAAGTGCCTCCAGCCATGAGTTCTTAACATCCAGCAGCAATTCATCAGCAAGGACAGAAGGCTGTTTATATCCTCCAATTCAGCACTGCCTTAAGGTCACAGTACACACACTTTTGAATGGCTGAAATATATTATTCCAGAGGTGGGGGGGAGGGGTTAAAATGGAAGGCTAATGAAAAACAGCAACAGAAATGTGGTGATAAAAGCTGAGCAGGTCAGACTCTTGCTGAACCTCTGAACAATCACTTGCTGGTCCCCAAGTTAAGCAAATTCAAAACTCTAAAACATGCTGCAGACAAGTTGGGATTCCTTGGACCTTTCCTTGGACTGCGCGAGGCATGAACCATGGCAGGCAGCCCACCCTGAACAGTGCAGCAAGAGCGGAAGGGTCGTGGCACATTCATAGGTCTTGGGGGGCAGAGAGTAAGACCAGGCCAGTCCCCCCACCAAAAAATCCCAAGAATTGCCTGCCGCGGGCAATCCCATCAGGAAGCCCCCTGCTGGGGATTATCGGTAAAACATTTGCTACGGAAAGCGATTCAGAGGCAGAATGTTAGGAAGCAGCCGCCAAACTTGAGATTCCAGCCTCCGGACGCCAATCTTGTTGCACGTCTCCACTATTAAAACACACACACACACACGCTTGGGACACCTCCTTTGAGACTTCATACCTTAGTAGGAAAGGGGAGAGAGAGGCTTGCATTTGGCTCAGGATTCTCTGGATTTCTCTCATCCACTGTTCTACGGATTTGTCCGTGGCCGGTGCATCCCCTTGCCCCTTGCAAGACACAAACGCTTGTACTCTGGTCAGAAAAAGGGGATTGAAACATCTTAGCAAGCCATCCAAGCAACATCACAGGGAAAAAGCCCTCCCATCACGAAGCAGGACAAGGCACGTGCGCAGCATCAAGTGCAGTGCAGTTTCCACAACCGCAAAGGAGACCATTTTTGCATTCTTGAATGTCTGCCCACAGCCCAAGCCGCACGTCTAAATTAGCCCTAGCAGAGTCAAGACAGAGCTTGCTGACTCGCTTTCAGTGCCAAGTTAAGACTTTTTAAATTTAGCATCTGTTTTTAGATTGGTTTATTGGTTTGCTGCTGGTTTATGTTCAATTGGTTATACTGTGCTTATTTCCTCCTGTTCGATACAAATAGTTGTATTTATATTGCATTTTAATCCTATTATGTTTCATGGTTTTGTTTGTTCTTGTTATTTGTGTTTGTATTTTTATATTGCAATGTGAGCTGCCCTGAACCCTAACCTTTTTATTTTCCCAACATTTTAACATTTAATTGGTTTTATCTTTGTTTTTATCATTAATGGTTGGATGCAGTGTGTTGTTTGTTGGTATGTTGCTGTTTTTGTAAGCTGTCCAGAGACGCTGGTATTGGACGGGATATAAAAACTTTAAATAAATAAAAAATAAACTAAATAAAAATGAATAAACTAACGAACTGAAATTGGCTTCTTTTTGAGGTTGCAGAATGACAATTATTTTTACCAGGTTGCTGAAAATGGAATGATTCAGCAATCATGTCTAATGGCCACACTCTCTGTTGGTTCGGTGGCTACTTGGTCAGACATGCCCTACAGGTTGCAAAACCTGCTGACCCAACGGAAACCTCTCAAAATGTTGCCTCCAACATCTCCCAGCTTTCTAGCGCTGCGGAGCGTTCGCAGAAACTGAAGGAAGGGTGCCACTAAAATTTCATTTCCCATTCCCCCATGTTTCCTACCCAACTGCTGCTGATTTCCCTGAGCAGTATTCAGAAATAACTAGAAGTTGGAGGCATGTACAGGTTATAGTGCATCAAATACTGTTTTTATTAAAAGATTTAAAGCAAGTACTGAAAAACTTTTTTTGGTCAAGATAGCTGCTTCAACATAAGCCTCTTTAAACATTGTCTGTAACCTGAAGAAATGCACATTTTGAAATGACACTGAAATTATACCAAGATGGAAACTTCAGTAAAATATCTCTAGGTAGCAACAAATTACACTTTTTGTTTTTAAAGTACAACCAAAAGCACATAAAAACTGAATTTTTACTGGATATTCTTTTAAAAATAGCTTAACCAAAGCTAAATTAGGAGATTAAGATTTTGAAATGGCAATAAAAATTAGACTCTTGAGTACATGAATTCTTTAGAGAATTATTAAATAATGACACACAGCAATTATTTCTATTTGCTGCAAAGCTACTTTTGACCTTCTTACTGTCAAACAAGTTCCTGGATAATTTCATGTCAATGTACTGGGATCCAAGTGACAATTTTTGCTGCTTTTCTGATTTTATGGAAAGACTCATTAGCTTCTTGATTAGTTCGAGGAGCTCTTCATACAAAAAGGGATCTGAAAGCTTTGTAGAGAGAGTTCAAAATACCTGGCAATTGCTTTCGTGAAAGACATTTTGCATTTCTGGAGAGGATTCTACACTGCGGCTTTGATGCAACTTGCAAGCTTACTGGTTGGGAGTTTTGCTCCTTCCACAAATGACAAAGCTAGCCCGCCCTATCCAGGGGACACTGTCTGGGCACAAAATTGCACTGCAGACAATTATGGAGAAGCCGGTTCTCATGCATGACTCAGGAAGTTGAGGCAGGGCGAGAAGGTAGTCTAACTTCGTAGGAATCAACAGAAGCACTGCCTCTGTCTGACAACAGATGCAAACCAATCCCAATGAAGGTCCCTGCCTAAAAGTCTGAAACGTTTAAACATCGGACTTTGAAAGATCTTGACAGCCACAAAATGTGCTACAAGGTGGGAGAACCAGACCATTTCCCTTCAATAGAGAATGTTTGTCACAAAATCACAGCCAAGTTAGCAGAATTGTTAAATAAAATGCAAAGCAAGATCCATTGTGAAAAGTTTTTGAGATATACTCGTTGGCTTTTTGGGATTAAGCGCCGTAACTTTAGGCAATACAGCGAAGCATGGGTTGCAAGGATATTCGTTAGAATTTGTTGGGCACAGCTTTTTGGCAGCTCAGACGCTACCGTCGACTTTTATGTTCTGTACTGTACTTTAATTTAAGCGGGTCCTGGTGCAAATCAAACCAGAACTTGTCCTGAAGGCAAAAATGATGAAACCGAAGCTGCAGTTCTTTGGGCCCTTCACGAGAAGACAAGGCTCACTGAAGACAATAATCTAAGGAGAGTCAAAGGCTGAAAAAGAAGAGGATGTCACCAGCTCGATCGAAAAGAGCTGCGCAGACAAGAGCTGCCAAAGACAGGGCCTCTTGGAGGGCTTCCATTTGGAGGGTTGCCATGAACTGGAGAGGATTGGTCAGCACATCACAACTACAGTGTTACTTAATTTAAGAACTAGCAATAAAATAGTAACTAAAAAGGTCTTAATACATGGGCTTCAAGAATCAAATCAAATTATGGTTTTTAACTTTTTCCAGGCTTCAGTATCTTGCTACTGCCTTTTCTAGATTATTGAAGCAATTGGAAGATAAAGAATCCCACTTTTGAAAAAAATCCATATAGGAGGATTCCTCTTCCAATAAGAAAAAAAAGGAAGGGGGAAGGATCCTAAAATAAGGTCCCACGGCTTCACAAGAAGAGCCAGAAGGATGCACAGAAGTGCATATGGGATGCATCCCTTTGCCACCATGGACTCCAAGCCAAGGTTGTCTTTGCATTAGCATTATTTCCTTCTCTTCCGGCCCATCTTGGCCCAGTGAGTTCCGTGGTATCCAACTGATTAATGCATCAACAGCTTTATTTATTGTAAGCCATCCTGAGACATTTGCAGGGGATGGGATAGAAAAGCTTGAAATAAATAAATAAATAAATAAATTCCATGGACAATCGCAACTTCCCTTTTAAACCATTCTCACCGTAGTGACGTTCGTGGAAGATCTAGACTAGTTCGGCAGAGCAGTGATGGTTTTAAAGGCAAGCTCCCTCTTTCAGTGTTGCATTATTCATCCACAAGGGACACAAGCCATGTTTAAAAGCGCTTTCGGCACTGCTTGTCAAACGACACCCTCAGTCGGCCAGGGATCCCGGCAGTTTTGTCCGAACAAACTCTGACTGAGAGAAGATGTTTTGGCGACATCCTTCTGTTCCACGGCAACTCCCAGGTCGAAATGGTGATCCTTAAAGCCTGCAACCCCATCCAGCATCCGGGGATACCAATTCCTGCATTGCCTTCGAAACCACGAGCTTTTCTGCACAAGGATTCAACCCACCCCAGGAGAAAGAGCCTGCTGTACACAATCTTTTCCCCAGAGGTTTTCTTTCTCTGCCTCCTTCTGTGTTCCACCTATACAATCACAGGGTGGTACAACAGTACAGCGGAATAAAACAAAATGCGCAGCCATTTTGTGGTGCTCCCTTGGGAAGACAGGAAATAGCGGGACTTCCTCACTCTAAGGAGGAAAGGTGAGGGGACGTGACAGATGTGGATTGGTTGAGGATGGGATAGCGAAATCACACAGAGAGAAGCGTTTCTCCTTCTCCCATTCAAACTCCAGATCTCCCACAGCTGCCCCGCTTTCCAGGGAACCCAAGTGGAAATGCAGCACTCTGCTGTGGGGTTCCAGCTGACTGCTGCAAAGAGCAGCATGGGGGCCAGGCGGACGTTTGACCTCGACCAGGAACGGGTCCTGTCCACACGGCCCTGCTCAAAGGACTCCAGCTTTGCCACTCAGCCCGGCCAAGTTCTCCTTGCTGCTCTCCCACCACGGATGGCGCTGCTCCGCTGGAATCCAGCTGCAAACACACCTCCTGCCGGCAAGCGCCTGGTTGGAAGTGCCAGGCCTCAGCTGCCCAAAGCACAGCGGGGTCCGGCTCTCGCTGAGGAGCACTGCGGCACGAGGCAGCCAGCACGCGGCCGGCAAATAGACTCTTCCATGCCTACACTCCAGCGGTCCAAGCTCTGGGCCTGTTCTAAGGACAGGAAGGCAGAGCAAAGCTGCACCACCCCCGGGGCCCCTCTCCGGCGCAGCAGTACCTCTCGTTGTGGAAGATGCGCTGCCGGAGATCCTGGGGGGGTTCCGCGGGAAGCTTCCAGTCGCAGGCAGCGAGCCACAGGCAAAGTCTCCTGACCAGCCAGCCTCTGTACCTGGCGGAGGAGAGAACGTCCAGGCAGGTAAATAGCAATGGCCCTACCCTGGAAGCATTCCCTAGAGATACAAGCTGAAAAGGTGGGGGTGAAAAGCTGCCCAGAATACGAGCCCCGGGCTCACCCTGGATGCCCAGTTCGCGAAGCCAAGACTGGTCCCTCCGTGACAAACGCACGGCGTTCCCACGGAATTCCCAAGGAAAGCATGATGCTCATGTGCTCTCAGCTCCGGCCAGCTTGAGCTCCGCTCCCTTAGACTGGCTGCCTGGCTGACCACTAACCCCATTTCAGATTAACCACAGGCTGCTGGGAACAGCAACTGTCGCAGCAACAAGCTCAGCCCACCCGAAAGCTCTGCTCAGGGCCAAACGAGGCGGCCGGCACGTCCAGGCCCACGCTGCTCTGCGAGGCATTGCGTGTGGTGACAAGATGAACGGGGCTGACGGGGAGTTAGTCGTGGTTAGAGCAGACGCACAGAAATCCATCGGACCTGAGTGAGAGATCACCCCACAGACTGCCGTGGCTCCCCACTAAGCTTAACCAAGCCCAGCTCCAACATTCAGCTACCGTTTGGTTTACCTTTTGCTGGCTGAATGCTCTTTTAATTGTACAGTGAGAATTCGTTCTAAGCAAACTGCAGGTGTCTTTTTGTTGCTTGGAGTCAAAAGGCAATACAGAAATGGGTTTATACATAAGCAAACTTAACTACAGCTACGCCTATATACCTTCCATTTTCTTGGTCTTTGGTATCCAGGAGCTGTATTTTGTTTCCATGCTACGGAAATAGGGTTTGCAATTCACTGGAACTTGGGCTGTTTTTAAAGAGCTAGATATAATGTCTATTATTAGGAAATCTAGCTTTAAAATGCACAGAACAGTCAGTTAGTTAGTTTATTTATTTAGAATATTTATTTATTTATTCATGTAGAATATTTATTTATTTATTTATTTAGAATATTTATATGACGTCCTGTCACGAAGGCCTCAGGCCGGCTTACATACATAAAATAATATAAAATATAACACAAATGAATTACAGATCCACAGTGGCTGCAGTGAAAAACATATAAACCAATATTAAAAGTTATTAAAATATTGTTGGAATGAAAAGGTCTTAACCTGGTGCCGAAAAAGAAATAATGACAGCGCCAGGCAGACGGTGCCGTTAAGTGATAAAACTTCAGGTTTCCTGCCTGAGAATCCTGCCAGCCCTGAAAAACGTCATTCAGGGTCGATCAGTCAGGGCTCTGCTCAGCTTTTTCTACCCAGGGGTTGGACAACGCAACTGGCTGCCCATCCAGGGACTGGAATCTTGCTTGGGGATTATGGGAGATGGACTCCAACACATCTGGAGGGGGTCCAGTGAGAAAGCTATTGGCTTCCCCCTCTTTTGAAATCCCCGCAAGCAGGAATCTTTGCTTTGGCTGTGGTATCAATCAAGCACTTTCTCTCTTCCTGCTGTTAACAACACTTAGCACTTCACGGATTTCAGTTATCAAAGAACTTCATGAACTACAATTAAAGTAATTAGGAATCAGGCTAATGAGAATAAAGTCTTTAATCCTCACACAACTCCTATGAGGTAGAAAGTTTTGTTATCTACGTTTTTATTTGAACAAGCTGGGCTGGGGAGGGGGTGGAGGTGAGAAGAGGGGAAAGCAAGGGCCGATCTAAGACCCCACTTTGAAGGGCCGGCCTAGGACCTTTCGGCACCAAACGGCAGTCCCCCCACGCCCCCAGTGCGCACGAGGAGCCAAAAACTACCAGGCCGCCAGCTGCCAAAGCTCCTCGGGCATAACCGGGGGACTGCCATTCATTTCCGTGAGAAGGGGAAGGCCTCCCTGCGGATTGCGCTGCAGAACACAGGCCTACATTCTCCGCAGCCGTGCCTGCCGCGTGCCCTGCTAGACTGCACAGGGCCCCTGCCCCAGGCGGTCACCCCACAATTCCCGAATGCGGTCCTTGGTCCTTGCCTTGTGAACAGCATGTTTACGCTATTACACGATTTGCTCAGCTCGCTCAGCTTACCTTGTGTTCTCCTCTGTTATCTTGATCACATTGCAGAATCCCAGAGAGGTCAAGTGCTTATGAAAGAGCGACTCCTGAAGGCAGAAAGAGGACAAGATCTAACTCCAGCTGTGATCTCCCCCTTATTCTCCCACGGCTAGGCAGCAACTTTTGGCTCTAGCTGGAAGCACCTCAAGGACTCGATTGGCATGAGCAAAAGAAGCCAGGATTCCTCTGTTGCAAGCTTACCGGGGGGCTTTATCAGAGTTATGTCCCACCTTTTTACCTTTTTAAAGAACTCTGAGCAGCTGACATCATTCTCTTTGTCCTGCTCTCAAGCTTATCCTCACAACAACCTTGCAAGGCAGGTCAGGCCAAGAGTCCATGACTGGTCTAAAGTCACTCAGCTGGCTCTATGGCCAAGCGGGGACTAGAACCCGGATCGCCCGAGCCCCAGCCCTGTGCTCTTAGCCACTTCTCCACACTGGTTTATCCCTCTCCGAAGACCTCCTGGCCGTGGATGACCCATCGCGGCTAACCCACGTTGCACCATTAAGGCATGGCAGCATACCCAGCTCGCCCCCCCACAGGATCCCTCCAGATCAATCAGACCAGAATCTGACCCCAGATAACTCTAGAAGTTCGTAAGCAGCACTGCCTCTGAAGCGGCTTCCCCTTTCACTGATAATGCCCAACAGTCATTGATAGATTCCTAGAAACAGTGAGTCAAAAGGGTTCCCCTGGCCATCTAGTCTGACTCCCAGCTCCGGCCGGCTCCCTCATCCTTACAGCCTAGGAAGACAGACGCCAGAGCCCCTTCTGCTACTGAGGGAACGCAGTCGAGGTATTCAAAATGCCTTCATCACAGATGAACATGGCACAGTTGAAAATGGGTTTGGGGGGGCGGTGCCATGCACAAATGCAACTTATTTTATTTTTATGTATTTAAAACTTTTCTATACTGTCCCATATCGAAGTCTCGAGATGGTTTAACCATACAAAATGTAAAATAAAACACAGCATCCTAATAACATTTCCAACCAGTAATAAAACCTCAATTAAAACAATCAGATCTTAAAACATTGGGCAGATAAAAAGGTTTTCACCTGGCACCAAAAAGAATAAAGTGATGGCAGGCAAACCTCTCTGGGGAGCGAATTCCACAATCTGGGTGCCACCGCAGAGAAGGCCCTTCTCCAGGTAGCCACCCTCCTAATCTCCTTCAAGGAGGGCTCCCAGAGAAGGGCCTCTGCCCCAGATTGCAAGGGGCGGGCGGCATGTATGGAAGGAGGCGCTCCTTCAGGTATCCCGGACCCAAGCCGTTTAGGTCTTCATAGGTCACCACCAGCACCTTAAATTGGGCCCAGACTCCAACTGGAAGCCATGTAGGTGGAAAAGGGTGAAGGAGAAGTTCAAGGTGTTGGGAAGGGCATGTGCGTTCAGCCCTTTAGGATCCCTCTGTTTTTGCATTTGTGTTTCGGCTGAGTGAAATGCATTTGAAAAGGGGAAAGTGTGAGCAGCACACCCCTTCGCCACCTCCCCAAAGCAAGCAGGGGAAGCCCCCTCCAGTGCGCCCTTGACTTTCTCAAGAGCAGGCTCCACTGTGGAAGACGCTTCTTAGTGGCGAGGAAGGCCGCTGAAGATAGTCCGGGTTACTTCTAAGGAGACCTTTCAGCAAGTTGTTTCTTGAGCGGGGGAGAAAATGTCTGAAAAGATGCCCACAGTTTATTTTTTCAGGGGATGGGGTGACGTTTGAGTCATTCAAAAAAGTGCCAGTCAAGGCACTTAGTGGAAATCACCCCAGGGTCATAATTCTGTTTCCGGGGCTGCTAAGTTAGTGCCCATCATCTTGCGGTGATGAATCATCTTGGTTCATTATGCACTTCCATGGGGAAAAGTCGATCCTTCCACCTTTCCTCAATCTACTGCTGACAACTTCATTAGATGGCCCCAAATTCTGGGTCTGCATGAGTTCACAAATGACCTTTTCCTTCACCACCAAAGGCGACACTCAGTAAAAGATAAAACAACAGCAGCAAACCAATCCATTGTTCTGCGCAAGGCTACCAATTTTATCCTGCAATGGCTGCCCAGAGAGCATGTTGCAAGCAGGTCGCTTGTAAGCAAATATGCAAAGGAATAATAAATGCAACCCGTTTTTCCTGCATGTCCTCCCCAAACGCTTACCCAGCTCTTAGGAGTACATTTCTGACAGCAACGCCCAACAAACGGCCGGAAGCTGCCCAAAAAGGGCACAGCAATGTCCAGTTTCAGCCCCTGGTCTATGGGAAGGGCCTCCATCTGCGGAAGAAACACAGGCCTCGGGACACCTGGGGAAGAGCAAGCCTTCAGGGCTCCCTTTGCCCAGTATGGCTCTCCTTCAACACAGGCCTCAGCAGAAATCAAGCGCCCGTGCTCCCGGCAGCCGAGATTTTCTTCTCCACTTGGAGCCTCTAGGCACAGTTTAACAGCAGTCTTTGGAGGAACTTTGTAAAGAGAGGGGTTCTTTTGTAGATGAAAGGTACCAAGAAATATTTAAATATAGTTTGCAGGGGTCAAGACTTCAATGTTCTGCCCTTCTCCAGAAATAACAGAGCTACAGTTGTTCAAAATGAGCAAAACTGTGCACCTCTGCTTATTTTCAAAGAATAAAAATAGAAACATAGAAACAGAGCGAGTCAGAAGGGGCCTCCCGGGCCATCTAGTCTGACCCCCGGCTCCAGCCGGCTCCGCTCACAACATGCCTGCCATGTGGACGTCCAGCCTGTCCTTGAACACCCTTGAAGATGCTACACGTCCCCACCCTGCTTGCTACAGGTTCTGGATTCTCTTGGTTTGGCTTGGATGTTTGGCTAAGGGTGGGACACATGCAATGTGCACGATCCGACAATGTGGGCAATACAATGTGCACGAGCTCTTTATCCCGTCTTGGAAGTGCACGGAAAGGCCTTGCCACCCAGCCCACCCTCACAAGCGTCCTCACGAGGACAAGGTCCTTGCAAGTCTTTGCCTTGGGACCAAAATCACGGCTCATCCTAGGCAGGTTAACCACACGGCTGCATTCACCCAATGCAAGAATCCAGAAAGAATACAAAGAGTCACTTACGTTTGGCCGGTGCTGCGAGGCAGGTGTTTCCCAAGCCAGGTGGAAGTTCTCTTTGGTCTCCCTGAAACTGTGCAAGCCAGAAAACAAGATCATGGAATTAAATCCAGCACAGAGGGTCCGGCATTTGCAGCGGCCTGCTGCTCAGTCCACCGGCTTCTCTGCGTATGCTCTCCATGACTGTGACTGGCATTCCTGTGCCGCCTCATAGCCAAAGCTCTCAAGACTGGGTGTACGTGCACAATTAAGACACCTGATTTGTCTTCCAGGACTGCAGAATAAGAAAAGTACTTTCACCCTTTGCAAGAATCCAGCAAACAGAATGCTGCAAGAGAGCCAGAAGAAGCTGGCCAAAGTACCACTGACGGGTTATCTTTATTCCGCTTGGAAATGTCTGCATCCCGAATGTGCCAACCGTCTGCCTTCTGCCACCCCAGTTGACAGTTGCTGGGCAAATCCTTGGAAGGGCCAGGGAGCCTCGGGGCAAAGGGGCTGCCCTTCTGCCAACACCACCTGCTTGTCCTCCACGGCCCACAGGCAAGCAGTATTTGCCACCCACACGCGCACAAAAATAAACATGTTGCTTTAATCCCCTGTATTCACCACACCCTCAGCCCGGGAGTGAAGAAAAACCCGAGTTGGTTAAAAGAAGGGGGGCAGTCCTTTCCACCCCCCATGGATCCGTCATCTCACAACCCCAGCCAGAGAGAATCTCCCCTCCAACTGGAGGCGTTTCAGAGGTTTAGCTCTTTGCCTGAGAAATCAATTGTCCCAGGGGCCGGATCCTGCATGAGGAGCGAGAGGAGAAGACAGTAAAAGCAGAAGCCCTTCGGAAGGCTGGAAAAGCCTCCTGGGGCAGGAAAAATATGTATTTATTTGGAATACCTGAATGCTGCCCCATTCGCATAAGCCTCGGGGCGGCTTCCAATACATAAATAAATATAGTTCTAAAAAAATACATAAAATACTGGAGACATCCTGGTAGCAGATTTAAAATCAATAAATAAAACCAACAGTTAAAATAATGTTTAAATAAAAAGGTCTTGGCCTGCAAATATTCTCTCTGCAATGCAGCTCTGATATATCACAATGGATTTTTCACACACCACTCTCTCCCCCAGGTCAGAGGCGGGCCGGGCCCAGAACAGGGAGCAGATTTACTCAGATCCCAGCAAATATACTCAGGGAAACACACACACACACACACACACACACACACACACACACACACGCATTTCACCCACTAGCTTGCACAAGCAACCCCAGCAACGCCCAAGGCAAGATTTAGCACCCCAACCCTCCTGGGCTGCCCCCAAATTGCCCCAGTGGACCCCACATACATACATCTGTAGATTCAGAGCCCCCCCCCCCCACATGGGGAGACTTGGGGCCTATCAAGACTGCACATGGGCAGGAACTCCACGAACAGTCATTTGTGCCCCCGCACGGCCCCCTTCGCAGAAGCAGGTGCAAGGGGAGAGCGCCACAATTGCTGCCCGCTTGCTTTTGGCGCCTGAAGGGGCGAGTGACTCCCGAATAAACAGGGGTTCTGGCACACCCGGCCGTCCCCAGCCCCACATCCGCAGATCTGTGAAGACGGTCCTCTTCCCCACTCGAGCTTCCCCGCGTGCTTGCGCTACCCTTCCTGCTTCGGTAACATTTTAATGCATCTCTTTTACTGTTTTATAATGTACTTTTTGTATTTCTTACGCAAACTGCTGAGAGACTGACAGATCAAGAGCCATGCAATGCCACCTTTGACATTTCCATATTTTGTTGTGTTACGGCAAGGAAAGGATGCGGTTCAAGCTTGGGCTTAGGCCCTGCTTAAGTCTAAGACCAGACCTTGATCCAGCAAGGAATCTGCAGCAAGAGTGGACTGTCGTCGCGCACTAACTGCCCCGATCCTGCCTGCCAGAAGTGGAGCGACTTCCCCGGAAGAAGGGCCAAACGCGGCCAGATCCAGCTGCAGGAAGCTCACCCAAGAACACTTGCTGCGTCAAAGGCCAAAGGGGCGTCTACCAAATCATGCCTGCGGCGGGGGGGGGGGGGGGGGCTTCTGCAGCCAAGAAGGCCCAGTTTCTCTCCGTTTACTGAACTTCTGTGCCTCCATAAAAATATTTTGCAGCTTCCCAGAGCAAAATATCATGTGCACAGCAAGGACACTAATGCCAATTAAATGCACTGCAACTCCAGGAGCAACACAACAAAATATTAAAGGAGGCTGAATACTTGTGCAAGGCCCTGTATATAAGTGGTGTAAGTGAATTGCAATCGTGCTCTGCCGTTCCTCAGTCGAAGCTCCCCTCTCCTTTAAGGGCTGCCCCGAGGCCTTGCTTTCGTTCAGCTTCAGCCCTCAAGCCCCATGTTCAGACCCGCTCATCTCTCTACCCATAACTTCAGGCCAGTCCACAAAAACATTTGGCACAACATTTGTAGTGAAAAACAAGCATTGCTTCGACATAAATATATAAACACAAATGGTTACAATATTAAAGACTAGCAGCTTATTTGGATATTGACTTAATTGTGGAATAGTAAAATATTTGAGTGTTGCACATTACACATTATGCACATTAATTTTCTGATGTTCACACTTAAATCTTAAACCTATATACTGAAAATTGTGACTTGCCTTAAAAAGCATTTCACTCATTCCAGTTAAAGTTCTTTTCTCCAGCACCTACCCATATTTCCAGTTTGCCTGTTAGTAAATAGCATCTGGTGGGGGGACAGCTCTCCACCATGCCAAAATTCCACCCCTCCTCAGGTGTTCACATCCCGAAAGGTACAATGCTAGGCAGGTTCAGAGAAAACGCTTCCTTCCCAGCATGTCCCAGCATTGATTGCTAGGTAATATTTCTAGGCTGCCTTTCAGGGCAGAATTCCCCCCACCCCACCCCACCCCACCCCACCCCGCCAGACATCTGGCAACAATAAAATAGACTGATGTGAATTAATTAAAACTATCTTAAAAGAATAATAAAATATAAACACATCACTGGGATAGACCAGAGTAAACAAGTACGTTTCCCCAGCCTTCCTAAAAGTCTGCAAGGTTGGCGCTTGATAGAAGCTCAATGGCATTCCATTCCAAAAGTGTGGGGCCACTCGAAAAAGTCCCTGTCACATGTACTTGCCACCTAAATGAAAGGTGATCAAGTAAGAAGAGCTGACTTCTTCAAGTGTGGATAGGCTGATAGGAAAGTTGGTTCCAAACCTTCCAAGGCTTTTAAGGGTAACGCCAACCCTTTAAATTGTGCTCAGAAATACACCAGCAGGCAGTGCAGCTAGCAGACTGCTTGTGATAATCTAACCTAGGGATGTGCAAGGAATCCATTCTGGCCCTCTAAAGGTATTGGGCAAGCAAGGCATCAATTTCATTTGCCATGAACTTTATAGTTCACAAAAACACACTCTCGCTATCGTACCCGGGGCTCATCTCCTTTTTCTGGAACAAAGCTGCTTTGGTGGGGTAAACAGTTTCATTCTTACAGCAGAAGCAGCCCTTATCTATAGTATGCCCTTGTCTCTGGTACACCATATAAGAAGTGAAAGCCATGAGGCCTTGGCACAATTTCAAGAGAGCACTGTGACTTCAGGACACAGGGAACGTCCCCTGCAGAACCTGCCAAGTTTCAATAGCCTCCATGCCATTCTTCCAGCACAGCCTGAAAACACAAGCACTTCACTCCTGTCTGGATTACGCCTTCCCCACCTTCATCCATCCCCAAACACCCCCCGAGAGGCATCCAAGAGCCTGACAGCCTCTCCGGGATGTGTAGGTGCAAATGAGATGTAGAGCTGACTATTATCTTCGTTCTGATGGCACTTCAGTCCAAGCCACCCCTGGAGACAGCATCGTACAATAAGCCAGTAAGCTGTGAGAACGCTGAAGAAGCTCCAGCTTCTCGTTGTGGCGAAGTGGAAAATGCCATGTAGAAACAAGACCTCGTGCAACTGATAAAGAGCACCAGAGGGGATTGGGCTGATCTGGGTTCAAGTCCCCAGCCCATCATCAAACTTACCCAGCAGCTTGGGTGTCCCTGGCCCGTGTCAGAGGGATGTGAAGCAGATCAGATGGCAGAACCCCCCCCCCCCCCCCCCATATAAGCCGGCCTTGTTCGCTGGCACGCTTGCATTCTGCTTAAGGAGAAGACGCAGCCCCACATTCGCAAATCCCGGCCCCTTCATGTCG